CCTCGACGGACAGCTGGAGTGGAGTGGAGCGGCGTGTGCCTCGGAGTGAGGTTTGTTTGTCTTCGCCGGCGGAAAGGTTTCGCTCGCTTGAGGCCCAAGGAGAGGAGAGGTGGAGGGGAAAAAAAAAAAAAAAAGTAGAAGTAAATATCCCGAAGCAAAGCAGGCAAGAAGAAAGCTCGGCAGAAAGGGTGGTGTAAACGGCCGAAGTTGGGTGTGACAAAAACAAAACTTCACTACTCTTTCTTCATTGCTTGTTTTCCCTCAACGCGTGGCTTTCAATTCTCTTCCTTTTGTTTTATTTTATTTTTTTTTTGTTGTGTGTTGTTCTTCAGACGGCCGGCCGATTTAACTACCGGAGCGGCGGGGGTCACCGCTTGTAGCCCACCATCGACGCGCAGCGCATGCAGTAGTAGCTGTTCATGCCGAACTGTATCGACTTGTTGAGATTGAAGTACAGCTGGCATCTCGAGCAGCGCACCTCGGTGGGGGCCGTGGTAATGCCGCCCGTCGGACCCGTGGGCGCGGGCTGGCGGGGGAGCGTGGTGGAGGACATGGCTGTGTGGTGGGAAAGAAAACGAATTCAGCGGCACCGGTTGTGCAGGGAGGGCAACGGAGCCCCAGAAATTGTTTTGTTTGAGGACGCAGGCGTTTGCCGGCAGGGCGGTAGGCAGCAGAGCTGTCTGGCAGGTGGAATATTCGAGCAAGTCTTCTTGTCCTGGGGGGCGGTGGGAGCGAGGAAGTATGGATGGATGGGAGGAAGCAATGGGAGGGGGACGCGGGCGGCGAGCGGAGTGTGCGAGGTGGATATATATCAACAGGGCTGGGCCGGGAGATGCGGATTTCCACGCCTTTTGAGTTTCAGGCAGGGCCAAGCTGGCGTAACCGGGGACGATGGCGAGCGTGGTAGTTCCCACGGATCTGCCCTCTTATCTGGCAGCCTTAAGCTTGGGCTTGGGGCGGGCTGTGAGTCAACGCCCGGCAGAAGGTTTGGGGGTGGAAACAACAGCGCACCACCAAGCGGAGCAGGCTTGGTATTAGTTAATTAAAGGGCAAAAAAACCAAAATTGATTCACGGGTCAGGGAGCAGCAGGTTTGAAACAACATTATGGCGCAACGGCGCGGGCCAAAGGGGAGGGGGTGGGCAGCTTTTTCTATCATCGCAACCTGATCGCCCCGCGATGTCATGGGCAGATCCAGCAGCCGGACAGCACCAACCACGGCCAGCCGGCGCCGGGCTTAGAGTTTGGGCCGCCGCGGGCGCTGCACGTCGTCGCTGAGGGCCCTGTCTGTTCTGTTCTGCATCGGGCTGCGCCGCCCTGGCCCTTCTGGAAATCCCGCGCCCTCCTGCTCCTCTCGTGCGTGCGCCGGGCCCCTTGACCGCCCGCAGAAAGGGACACGAGCTGCTTTTTTTTGCTCTGCCGTTTCACCCGGCTGAAGGAGGCCCCAGCCTTGTTTGTTCGTTTTGTTCGCGCGCCGCGGGCGCAAAGCAAAGCAAAGCAAAGAAACGGCCAGACGCGACTCCCCCACGCCCTGACCCGAACAGCAAGCGAACCCTGGCCCTGCGCCCTGGGTAGTCCCCCCGTCGGAGCACGGTACGATGGCTTCCGAAGCCTGCCTGGCAACCAAGTGTACATAAAAGGCCGGCCCAGCTCAGCTGCATGATGATGCCGTTCTGCAGCCGGCTTAATTTAGCTGCACACACGGCCGGCGAGAACCGAGGCTGGCGGGCCTTCTAGAACTCCGGCCGCCCGTTGCCTGGCGCGCGCGCGCGTCTGTCTGGAATTTGGATGCCTGGAGGGGAGTCCTTCCGCCAGGATGATGATAAAATAATAATAATAATAACAATATACCCATCAACAACACGCTTCCCCTATCCTTCGCCCCAGGATCTATACACGGCCCAACCCCGAGCTGGGCGGCTTTGCACGGGGGGGGCGCAGTCGTCCTGGCGCATCTGGCGGGCGTGTGGATGCTCTTCCCCCTCCCCGCCTTCTGCCCGGCGTGCCTGCTTTGGGGTCGCTACATATCGCTCCCTGCCTGCTCCCGCTGCCCGCTGTGCACGGTACGCCGTCTGTCTCGCTCTCTCTCTCTCTCTCTCTCTCTTTTTCTCCTCTGCCCGACGCCTTGCATGATAGGGCGCACACATTATACATGCATAACTATTCTCCAGTTTGTATGCATGTACTCCGTACCTACATGCTGTTTCTGACCCCTCACTCATTGCTGCGTGTCTCTCAAGAGCCCGCGCGCACGCGTGACCGGGCACCATGCCTGCTGCTGTCCTGCGGCCTCAATTTCCCCCCCCCCCCGCGACGATCTCAGCAAAGTCTCGCGTGTTGGGCTCGCAGAGACGGCTCTCGACTCTGCTCGCGTCGCCCGTGATTGGTGCCGCCGCCCATCCTCCAGGCTGTTGTGACGTCACCGCTGCCGTGCGTCTGCTTCCCTCGCTCCCCTTCTCCTTCCTCTTCCTTTCCTTTCTCCTGATCCCCCGCCTAATCTACTTTTTTCCCTATTCCTTCTCTATCTCCTCCGTTGATCAATGCTATCTGTCCTGCGCGCAATAATAGGCATCTCTCTCTCGCGCCGTCTCGACCAGCAATTTCCTCCTGCCAGCCAGCATCATCGCAATGTCTTGGCGCAACCTCGCCCGCCCGCCATCACTGGTCAATAATAATACTTAATGACCTCAATATTGCCTCGAAGGTCTCGTCGGTGGGGGCTTCGGGTTGGTCACCAAAAAACTTTTTTTGTTCACCGATGCTGCATTATTATTCCTGTGCCGTGTACTCCCCTGCCCTGTCCTGCCAATCGCGAGCTCGCTTGCCATCGCGACTGGGGGCTCTCAAACGCCCGAATTGAGTTGCGGGAGCCGTTAGTTCTTGCTGTTCATTTACCTGACATCAGCTCTTCGCCGTAGCGTGGCCCTCTGTCCTTGTTTTTTGACATTTTTTAGCTTCGTTTGCTAGCGAACACCCCCCCAGGGCCAGGCCTGGGAAAAAAAAATTTGCCAAAAATCTGTTTTATTTTTTTCGGCCAAATTCTGGGCTAACGCTTTGCCCTGCTACGCTTCTTTTTTTTTTTTTTTTTGGGTCCTTGTCTTAGCCGCGATAGGCAGCGCCCCGGTGATGTAATTGCAGACCCCCGAGGTGAAGAGCCTTTTTGGGCAGGCTGGCATGAGAACACAACGCCGGGCCAGTTTGGTATTATTGGCCCTCCCGCCTTTTTGCGCCTGGTGTGCCCTGCCAGAAAATACATACTTCTCATGGAAGGCGCCCAAATTGGGCTGTTTGGCCTCTCCGTTTGTCAAAGTGACCAAGGCGTCAAAGAAGATAAGGCAGGCGTCGTACAGAGTCCTAGCCGAGAGCGCCTGTGCCGCGATGCTCGCTGATGGCTTCCTATCGCCTGACCCATGACAAATACAGCTGATGATTAGATTGCAGAACGGTCCTACATTCTCTCGACGCTCAACCATGGCACTGAGGCCGGTGATGTGGCATTTTTCCCCTCTTGTCAGACCACTTCCGGATATTCCGATCGTGGAAGATAAGAAGAGGGGAAAAAAGGGGGGGGGGGGGAGTTCGATTACCGGCATGGGAAATGTGCATCAAGCTGTGCTTGAGCCTCATCCCGATCGTTCCATTGGGCTGAAGCAACTTACCCACATTGTCCGCGTGGCTTGTTGCCCGCCTCAATTCAAACGGGGCAGGGAAAGGGCATTTGGCCGCCTGTCCTTTGTACTCCGATGCAGTTCGCGTGTTCCCCGTCCACCAGGCCTCTGCTGTGTGATATTGCTCCTTTAAGATCGTCTTGCCGAGCTGAGGACAGGTATGTACATACATGCAAGTTTATCTCCGGCAAACCCCCTTTTTGGGTCGTGGGCGTTGCGTGCCTGCGATGAGAGAGATCGACGAAGAGGGGAAAAGCAACTCCCAAAAATAGTTAATACTGCAAATCATTTTTTTTCTTCCGCGGATATGTGGCTGTGGTCGGGTTTATAGGTCCGTTCCTGAAAAACGTGTTGAACACTGCTTGTTGACCTTGCGGCGGTCGCTTCGTCGGCCGCGGGCCACTGGCTTTGCGACACGTCCTTGATACATACTCGCTGCCTTCTCTGGCACTGAGGAGGCTGAAGGTGGGTTTGGTTTGTATGTCTCAGGACTTGACTTTTCTATGCGCTTTTCAGTTTGGAAAATATCTCGTAACAGGCGCTGTAGTTAGTTGACTATAGTGGTGGCTGCCCTTTATCCATAGCGCCAGTTTCAATAGTTAATCAGGGCGCCTTCTCTAGCTATTCGACGCAGATCACTCAATATCAGAATATTGAATACTCATCAATGGCGAGATCTTCGTCCCCGACGAGCACATAGAGGAGAAACAAAGTTCGTCCATTCCAGCAAGCAGCGACACGACCGCGGTCGCAAAACACCGCTCACCGCTTCCACTGCCAACGATGCCCATACCAACCCGCTCAGCGTCCCTCCGCGACCCCCAGCCAGCCCAAAAGAAAAAGCAAACGGCCGTGGTACGATGTCGCAGTTTCATTTTACTCAAATGCCGCTTTCCGATGTGATACTGACCGACCAGCTAGCCAAAACACACACAGACAACATCTGGCAACCGACCACCGCCGACCTCTACCACCACAACCGCCGCAACCGCAGCAGCCACCAGACACTCCCGCACCTCCTCCTCCGTATCATCGTCGACGCCCACAACGACGACGACTGCAATAACAGCAACGACAACCGCCGCAAGACCACCGCCTCCCACCAGCCATGCCCACACCGCCTCCTCCGCGTCCGTGTCCGGCGGAACCGCGCCCGCGCCGTCGCGTAAAAGTTTCCTGCCCCAGAGACACCTGACCTCTCGCCGATCGCCAGAGAGAACCGTGCCCGTTACGCCGCTGCTGCCGCCGCCGCCGCCCAAGGCCCAGGTGGCTCCAGACATAGCACCGACGACGGCGACGACGACGACGACGCTGCTACCGCCGCCCGCGAGGGATGCGTCCGTGGTACGCCCGAATAATACCTCGCCGTCGCGTCGTCGTCGTGATAGTCCGAGGTCGTCGCCTGCTAGGCGGGGTACGCTTGGCGGTGCTGGTGCTGGTGCTGGTGCAGCTGTAAAGGCGCAATCGGTTGCGTCGAATGAGGGCAGTAGAAGCCTAGCACACCAGCAGCAGCAGGCCTCGTCTACGGAGCGGTCGAATACTGGGCAAGCTAGAGCCGCGGCAGCAGCGGCGACGCAGGTGCCGCCTGCGACGAGGTTGGATAGGTCAGCCTCGTTGCGACAGACGGCGCCAGCGAGAGTCGCGTCGACGGCGGCGCGGCATACCAGGAATCGAAGCCAGGTACTCGTAGGAACGGGACAACAAGCCGGTGGTGGTGGTGGTGCTGCAAAAAATGCGCCTGCGGAGAGTGCGTCGAGAGCGGCGAAGCCCTCGTTTAATATGTACCAGCAGCACTATAGTCCGAAGAAGTCGGCGCCAAAGGCTGCCGTGGGCAGTGTGTCTACGGTTGCTGCTGGGGATAGTAATGTAATGCAGGCGCTGCCTCCGCATATCCCTCCTTTGCAGGTGGAGCTGTTGCAGCTGCTACTGTTACACGCTGAGGGTCTACAGGCGAAGCGCAAATGGGAGGCCAGTATGGATGCGAAGTGTCGCGAGCTACATAGCTCCGTGGTGAAGACGTATCAATCGGTGCTGGCGACTGAGCGGGCTGTACAGCGGGACCGCAACGTCGCGGCGCTTGAGCAGTTTGCGGCGGATGTTCAGGCGTGCAATGGCCGGTATGATTTTGCGACGCAGATCCAGATGCTCTCAAGGGTCATCCAGGAGGTTTCTGATTTGACGCAGTCGCGAGATGGGAGGTATAATGTTGTCATCCAGGAGTTCGAGGAGTGGTCGGCGCATGTGAAGGAGGTTAAACAAAACAGGACGCAGAGGAATGGGGGGTTGCAGTTCATTGACCCCCTTCGCGACGGGTGGAGGAATGATGTGGCTGCTTTATCGGCGAAGCTTGAGCTGTGTTCGCGAGAACTGGACTGCGTTGAGATACGGACGGCGACGACGACGCAAGGTGACGATCGCTCTGGCTACCATGCCTCTGCACTTGCAAGGGCTGTTACGGGGCATAGGGAGCTGATCCGGTCGATGATTGATGAGTTGGATGTCATCGCGAAGATCGAGAGTGAAGTGACCATGATGGAGAGATCATGGGTGACGAGAACCGTTGATTCTTTGAGAATTGATATCGCTCCTGGTCAGGATGGTGATATGAGAATACCGGCGTGGAAGAAGACGTGATCAATGGCGAGAAAGTGACCTATAACTACTTCCGCTTTCGGGGGTTTAAGTATAGATGTAATGGGTTGACGTCCACCAGTTACTCCGTACAGTAGTAGTAATCAAAATGCAGTGCGTGGGAGCATCCAAAGTCTCGGCAAGTCTAGAATATCGAATCGCCAAATGATATCATCTCAGCCCCCCGTCGCCAAGCCTCACACGTGCCGGCGAAGTGGAGGCAAGCAAAGCGGGATTCAAAAGCAACAATCAGCAACCTCCCCAACGTCCATCATTCATCGCTGCCTGACTCGCGAGAGACACGTTTCCCATCGAGCTAACTACAGCTAAGACTTGTTTGGCGCAGATCCCCCCCGGAGCATCGCTGACCTTGCATCCCGACGCGAAACCCTATCTGGTTGTATGCTACAGTGAATTTACTAGGGGGCGGAAAGTTGGGCCTGCTGCAGAAGGATTGAGGGGAGGATATCGAAATCAACGTTTGCGGCGGGTGAAGCGGAAGCTGTCCGGCCTTTGTTGGTTAAGAAAGAACGCAGAAACCCTCCCCCTTCAACACCCCTGCTTGCGCGCCATCGTAACCCATGTTGACCTAGGTCGACAAGCCAACTCATTCCCACTTCTCCCAAGAATTGGGCGGGACAAAGTGTCACGTCGAAGCGAGCTAACTAACTGCTGTGCTGGAATTGAGATATGTGAATCGTGAAGAACGAAACGACTATTATCCCACTTTGTTTTAATAGTTCTATTTTCTAGCTTTCTTCTGGATCAGCTTGTCAAAGGATGAAATCAAGAATCTACGACCGTCTCCTACGGCGGGAGCTCGGAGCTTCTGACCCATATGCCGGCATTCGTGGGCTATATGGTGATCGGATTTGGGTTGATGAAATGGATATTGTAAACGAGCTAGGTGGACATACGGGCTGTGTGAATGCACTGCAGTACGTTTGCGCTGTAGAAGATCCTGCAATCTGGAATATTCATGCTGATGGTGATGATAGCTGGTCTAGTTCTGGAAGTCTCCTCGCGTCGGGATCCGACGACATGCACGTAAATATCTTTTCGTACCAGCCGGAATCGTCGATATCGCCGTTTTCTCTCAATACCACTATCCACACGGGTCATACTGCGAATATTTTCTCTGTCAAGTTCATGCCACACTCAAATGACCGGACATTGGTTTCTTGTGCCGGTGATTCGGAGGTTCGGGTCTTTGATATCGAATATTCAAACCGCTCCGCCAGCTCTGCCGCTGAGTCTGCGAGAAGTCGACGGTTCAATAATTTTTTCAATGGGATGTGGTATTTGACTGATAAGAATACAAATTGCAGGGTCTATAAATCTCATGCAGATCGTGTGAAACGCATAGTCACTGAATCGTCACCCCACTTGTTTCTTACGTGCTCTGAAGATGGAGAGGTTCGGCAATGGGATTTGCGTCAGCCCTCTTCTGCGTATCCCTCTCCAAGGGGTGGCCAAGGATTCATGGCTTATAGACCAGGCTTACACCACGATGACTCCAATGTTCCACCACCTTTGATTTCGTATAAGAAGCATCATATCGACCTAAATACCATGTCCTGTGCCGCCAGTCAACCCCATTACATTGCTCTCGGTGGGGCTCATCTTCACTGCTTTTTACATGACCGACGGATGATGGGTAGAGATCTAATGGACGAGAAAGGACAAACGGGAAGTCCATCCAGTCTTTCTGATCAGGATGACGAAACGATGGGGAAAGCAACCCGTTGTGTTAGACGATTTGCTCCCAATGGCCAGAAGGCAATGAGAAAACGGGACAGTGGACATATCACCGCTTGTAAGATCAGCAACGCAAATCCGAATGAAATGGTAGTGAGTTGGTCCGGTGACCATATCTACAATTTTGATCTTATCCGAAGCTCTGACGCCAGAGATGGAGAACAAAAGGAGAAAACTCAGATAGGAGGCTCGGGGTCTGGAAGAGCCAAGATGGATAAGAATCGAAAGCGGAAACGTGGCAAGGCAACATCCGCAGCTTCGGCCGCTAGCGCCACCAGACGTCAATCTAGACGCACATCTGAGGATGGACATGTTGAAGAAATGTCGCTTCGCGTTAGGTACGGGAACGGTGGGTCCGAAGATATTCCACTCGACTCCCTGGCTGATGTCAGAGCGAGTGACGTTCCAGGAGATGTCCTGGAGAGAGCGAGGGAATCCGTTTTGAATGAAGCGCAGAAACTCAGTCTTCGTATTGCAAAAGGTCTCGTTGAAATTCGGAAGCTGTTGTTTTCCGTTGAGCGAACCCTTAGAGAGGCGGCAGAAACTCAACCTCTTTCTGGGCCCACACCTTACACAACATCCTTTACGTCAGTGCTTGGGTATGCTGCGAATTATCTACCAGAAATGGACGAAGTGATTAGGACATGGAGATATCCACTCAGTCCGTCCCATGATGACGTTCTTTTCCAGCAGGCGTTACGCAGGAACCGCGAAACTTCCAGAAGATTTGTCCAAGCCTCGGGAACTCTTGCTAGGGTCCTTGGAGGCCGGTTGAACACTGCATCAGGCGGTGAAAGCCCACATCTTTCGTTGTTCAGGCAAATCGTTCCTGCTCCGACAGAAGACGGAATGATTGACCCATCCTCACGCTTTGGCTACGACTTTCTGAAAGGAATATTGCTATGGCTCGAAGGAGGTAGACCGGCACTTCTAGATGGTTTCAAACGACATGGTGTTCGTCGTCGTGATATTGGCAGATTTCCCTTGCTGGATTCGGCTGACGATAGCGCCATAGAGGAGACGCTAATTCCTTATTTTCGAGAGCTGGCAGGTACTGAGCCCGTAGTGAACGTTGACGCATCAGTATTTGAGCATGATGGCAGACGGGTATTATTTCAATCCCAAGCTGATGCAGTTGAAGCCTTTGCCAAAGCTATTAGAATTCCACTGGAAGATCTTGGAGACTCCGCTGCTGTTCATGAAACCGAAGACGGGAGTGCTACTGAGAGTCAAGGGATCCGCGCATTGGACAAAAATGCCGCTATCAGGTTCTGGGGTCTGAAAGTTGGCAGGGGCATCTTAATGGAAGTGGGAGAAGGTGTGAATTTTGAGTTCACTAACCGTGCTTTTGGTGGGTTGCGAACTGTTATTGAAGACGATGAGGATGAGGACGATGGGAGAGAGAGAATACAAGAAGATATAAATCCAGATGAAGAGGAGGAGCCAATTTCGGAGATTAGGCTCGTTCGACGCCGGTCTTCTTCTCTTGAAGCACGACGCAATACTGGAGAATATCATTCAACTCACAGTCCGGCGCTTGAGCCGACCGGACACTCGAATGCTAGAGTCGATGCTGATACAAGTGATGAAGATGAGGACTATGACCATTCTGATACTGATTCTGAAGGTTCTGACAACGATGACGAGGGAGATCATGATGCTGATTCCTCAGATGACGAGCACGTCTTCGTAAATCACCCTACGGCTCGCCAGCGACGTGAAGTAGAAACTCGTGTGCCGTGCTCCTCACATATAAATGTCTACCGAGGGCATTGCAATGTAAAAACAGTGAAGGATGTTAACTTTTTCGGCTTGAATGATGAATATGTGGTGTCTGGTAGCGATTGTGGAAATGTGTTTATCTGGGATAGGAAAACGTCCGACCTAGTCAATATTCTCACCGGAGACAGCGAAGTTGTGAACGTTGTACAAGGTAGGAAACGTTACATCCGCGGCATAGATGTCGTTGCTAATGAAACCAGGCCACCCATATGAGCCCACCCTCGCCGTTTCCGGCATCGACCATACCATCAAAATCTTCTCCCCGGATGCCCGAGCGCAGCATGATGCCAAAGTTGGCATCAATATTGCTGATCCAGATGCTCAAGCTAATATCGTTTCTGGAAACACCCCTGGAGGCAATCGCACCGAACGCAACACACTTGGTCTCCGGAGCCGAAGACGGATGCAAGACAGTTACCAGATCATGAGCGAAAATGACGTAAATCGTCAGGGGGGAATGAACGAAGCTTTCATCACGGTACGTCTGCTAAATCTTTTGGCCACTTCCAGAACAGAAGTATCGTTCTCTGAATGGGCCTCGTGGTTTTGACGACGATCTCGGGCGCCCGTCAATCTGTACTTCCGGCTCTATTCTGTTCTACACTCTTGGGATCCTGGTACTCACGGTCTTGGAACTATATAGAGAAGCATGCTAGCCCGTTTAGCCGCGTCCCTGAGAGAACGACAAGGCATTAGGATTGGGTATACCGGAGGGCAGGCGGGTGCGGGAGAGGCCTTTATATTTGACGAGAACTGTGCTGTGAGTTTCCTGGACTCTTCCGCTTGTACCATGCAGCCACTAATCCATTCTTGCAGACGATGTAACAGTTTTGTCCAAGAACCCTGGTTTTGACCCAACCCTGCATTTGGAATCATCGATGATGGATCTCGATGTCAGACAGCCGTTTCTTGATTATCTCTCTAGCGTTTTCCTCTGCAGCCTCGTCTTCGGGGTTCTATCTATTTCCTGTTTCACTCATACTAAAGACGATTTCTCAGTGTGCGTTTGAAGCCTCTCTCGTTTATTATTAGGATAGCCTGTTGAGCATGTTCTCCATGCCGGCCACAGCAGATCCCTTTGATGCTTGCAACCATGGTAAGATGCAAATTGAATGAACGACAAATACTAGATATTTTGCGGGCTCCATGTGCTCTACCAGAACCGCTCTGAAGCTCTGCCAGAGGTGGGCAACCCCAGTAGGCCCTCCAGTGTTGGTCGCACCGTCCGACCTTGCCGCCGCCGCCCCTGATCCGGTGAGATCACGTGACGTGTACGACGGCAAAATGTTTCGGGCGGCGACAGATCCCCGCCTGCGGAGCGCCCGTCGCCTGATGTTGCCTGCGGTGAGTGCCAGCGGTGAGTTGGACGCCTTTTCAAAACCGCCGCTCGCTGGCATTTTTGTCCTTCTTTCTCTCGCTCTTTTGTTTTTAGTCTGGCATGCTATACCGAGTTTCTCTCCTGATCTATGTATAGACAAAGACCGGTTTAACACAGTTTAACTTTACCCTTTGAGGTGTCTGCTATTAGTTACCTTTTTAGGCCTTCGCATCCAGACTCCTACAGCGAAGCAGACGGAGCCCCCCTAGCCATGGCTTCAAACATTGCGGCCTACGACCCACACCTTCTCTCCCATCGAGAGAGAGTCGTAGCTCTGCTTCGGACTGACACACACAATCCGCTGCTTCACCTGGAACTTGGGAAGGTTCATGTTCGACTGGGGTTCCCAGATCTTGCTGCTGCCGACGCATATCGTGCCTTGACTCTGTTTGAGCATGTGCTTGATCCGCACAGTGAGTACGTTGCTAGGAAACGGATCCAGAGTGCCTTGACGAGGCAAAAGAATATTATGCTTGCACTAGGCCGGGGTGATTCAAGTGACAATGATTCTGCTGCTCTTGAAGATGATGCCTTTGAAGACTCATCATGGGCTGATTACAAGGAGAATATTGGTGATGTTTATATCTTGCTTGTTGAAGGCCTCGTGCTGAGTGGATGCATGAAGGACGCTTTTGAATTTTGTATGCAGGGCATAAAGCTCCCGCACGGGGATGAGAGAGAGACAAGGAACGAAATCCTGGAGAAATTCTTGTCCGCTATCAAACGCTCCCATATGGATGCGAAGTCTAGAGCCCAAGAGGGGGGCTCTAGCTACCAATTTGATGCCGCGGACTTGCGAGTTCAAGGATACGCGCGAAGGGTGGTGTATCCATGGAACACTCATGAGCCGGATCGAAGATCCCCGGAGATAGTGGATTTACTAAATGCCCGGCTGCAAGATGTAGCACCAAAGTGCGAAGTCAGATCCGTGGGGCTGCCAGCGCTACACGGTTTAAAACCTACCACCAATCACCAAAATGGGCATGATCAGGCGAAGGAAGTTTCTATTCAGTTGGGCTTGTTTGCGAAAGAAGACATCGCCGCAGGAGAAGTGGTACTCCATGAGTCGTCTATGCTAACAGCAACAAATCGTCTGCATGACGACCTATGTGATGCGTGCAATTCTCGGTTGCCTCAACTTGATTCCTCAGAACCACCATTCGCATGTGAGGACTGCGAAGACACCGTCTTCTGTAGTGAAAGTTGCTACGACATTGCCTACGACACATATCACCGTGCTATCTGTGGAGAGGAGGGTCTAGAGTCCATTGGAAAGGATATTCCTGACCCCAAAGATAAAGCAGATTATCTTTATCTTTTGCTACTTGCTCGTTCGATGGCCATGGCACAAACACAAGGTGTCCATCCTCTTGATCTTCCGGAGGTAAAATATATCTGGGGTGACTTCCACACCATTGAAGATAACCCATGCACGCAACTATTGTCCGTGAGCCTTCAAAGCTCAATTACCCTAACTCCACAGCCACCTTCAGCGACACTGCCTTTTTCATTCCAATTAAACATCCTCCAACCCATGCGAATTGTTGAGGAAATGGGGCTTGATCCATTTGATTCCCTCGCGACGTTTGATACATGGATTTACAACACTCTTTATGCTAAATTTCGTGGTACAGCATCTGGGCGCTTGTCGACCTGGGATGGTGGGCCAGAGGTGTGTGCAGTCCACCCGCTCTGGTGTCTCGCAAACCACAGCTGCGACCCAAACGTACGTTGGGAGTGGGGAGGGGAAATTACTTTTAAGGCTAGAAATGAAACGGAGAGGGTGCAGTGGGGCGGCAAGCAGGAGCAGGAGGAACGGAAGGATGCTCAGGCGGGAAATATTGCAATTCGCAAGGACGAAGAGATCTTGAATCATTATTGTGACCTTGGGCTTGTGGTTAAGGAGAGGAGAGAGTGGGCTATGGGAGCGCTGGGTGGACCCTGCCAATGCTGCAGATGCACTTGGGAGGAGCTTCAGCCATAAATGCCGTTTCTTAACGATTTCTACACTAATATTATTCGGGAATTTTTGGGATAACTACACTAGACCTACTAGATCGATATAAAGACAAAGCAAAATGAATCAATGGTATGGCCATAGTTTCTTCATTATATCGTTATTCATAATTTAATATACATGAACTCGTGAGCTGCTCGTTGAATCAATTGCATCGAGTCATTCTCGGATCTTATATTTGATTAACCTCCATACCTACCTGGCATGTTGAACAAGCTCTTCATATAAATCGCCAGGAATCTTCTTCACGATAAGAACAGCAAGCCCAATGACTTCCTTCGCATCAAGCGCAGGAAAGGATCTAAGTAATTTATTGGGACTATATCGGCGAAGTTAGTAAAAATATCACGTCAGATCAAGATCCCCGCCTCAACCCTAAAAACGTACCTGGTGGTGGCTAATAACGTGTCTCGCATTCTAATCAGCTGAGCCACAATACATAAGATGTTTAAATGTGGCCCATACGCAAAGAGAAAGTCCCACAGATGCAAGACTTCTGGGAGCGGGGGCGTGCAGGCGCATAGTGTCAGCACGGATGGGAAGGCATATAGTTCAGCATACATGCCCTTGCTAAAGAGGTGCGTTGCTAATTTTGGTTCGACTATCTCGAGACACTTGTCTACGAGCTTTACGCCCTTGTGCACACCATCCATAGCGCCGCGAACGTAGCCTGGGCATTCGCGGGTGATGAAGTGGTGGAAGAGCGCGAAGGCTTCAACTTCACTTCGAGAGGCATAGAGGAAAGGTGCGCAGAGCACATTCATGCCTTGCACATATATGGCTGGGTCAGATGTGCTCGCTTGTTGGGGTGGCTGGGGAGAGGGCCCATCCTCCGAAATCGGTGACGGGAGGGTGTTCGTGGATAATTTGCTCGAATGTCGAGCATTATGGGAAGGGGTAGAAGATCGCGATTTGCTCGCGCCTTTTTTGGAGTCGTTGATCTTCCACGCTACAGCGTTCAGAAGTCTTATCAGACTAGCCTCTGTAACGCGTCTTTTAAATAATGGGTCCGTAGCAAGTGTACGAAAGGTGTCATTGCGAATTTTGGCGTATGCGGGGGATCGACCGCGGTGAACGAGGGAAAGGTATTCATCGGTGGGAAGCGGAGGAATGTTGAGGAGAGTTAGCCATACGTATATTCGAAGGGGAGACTAGAAAATAGGTTAGTTTTGCTGAGCACAAATGTAGGGAAAGTCCCACACGTACCATGCCATCGCCATCCGCATCAACCCTATTGGATAGTATAAGGTATCTCAGTTCCCCTAGTCCAGCTGCAAGGTCGCTCGACGGAGGGCCGTCCCTCAGCAACAACTCAAGTCCAGATCTTCTCCCAGGAAATCCCATTGAACCAGATTTCCTGCTTGACGGCCGGGGTTTCGAAGCCAGAGACCGAATTGCCGTGGGGCTCGTAACATCACTATTTGAGCGGTGACGGCCGTGTGAAGGAGTGGACGGTGCCGGCGTATGGATCTGGCTGCTGCTGTCGGGGTCAGTTTTGTCGCGAACGCTTATCGGGTCGCGGCGGGGAAGCTGCCGGGCTGGAGTCGATACTGGCGGAGGCTTTGTTGACAAATTCTGATGCGATTGGAAGCGTCGCAGAGTGCGTGCTTGCGGCTGCGCAGGCACATTTGGCAGCGCTGGGAAATGGAACTGGGCTTGAGATTTGGATGCCATCGCTGCTGCTGGTGGATAAGGGGCGGGGAGGGGGGGTTGGTAGGCGGCTGGGTTTTCTTCCCTAGGATTTGCAATCAGACTCGCGTGCGGCCGCCGGCCCTAAACGAATGAACAAAGCTAAACAGCCCTGGTAAATCGGCAGCGTGCCATCGACGGAGGTCTGTTTACATGCAAACCGATGGCTGGACCGCACGAAGAGTCGGTCACGTGAAGTGGCGGGATTGACGGAGCTTATTCGATAGCTTCAAAGCCCGCCGGTCACAGCAAGGGAGAAGGCTGGGAACAATGCTAGAGTCTTACAGGCTGAAGATTCTCTTTATCATGAGCTTGAAATTCACCCAATTAGAAGCTCTATAGACACACTCTAAAACTCCTACAGCCCAATCCCCTCAAGTAGCTATACATTGACTAAAGAATTCTTTGTCGCCTGGCCTGATCCGGCTATGTTTGAGACAAAGTCCCGATACCGAAAAACCTCGCCGCGGTTTCTAGGTGTGCTAAGACCGGCTTGCCTTGCTCCTTTCGATCCAAAGGCCCGTCTACCAGTGAATCCAAAAACAACTTCGTCGATCTCCCTGTCCGTCAGCCTTCTTTCATCGCCTTCCGGGGCAGTGTGAAGCAAGGCGTCTCGGAGCTCAGCAAAATCAATCTGGCCGCTATCATCTTCGTCAAATGCAGCGAAGGCATTGAGAAGCTCTTGGGGATCCGATAAAGGGACTACCAGAGACGCAATTGTGTTTAGGTAGGTAGGCAAATTGATAGTTTGAGACGACCCAGGCGGGAAATATGCATCTGTTGCTGAGGGCGACGAATCTTGACCTGCCAGAAAGGGTTAGCTGACTCTTCATATGTCTCGTATTGCATTTGAACATACCTAAATTATTTAGAATATTCTTTATGTCTCCTTTGTTTACTTGACCGTCGTTGTCCCGATCAAGGACTTGAAATGCTTCGCGCATTTCTCGCACCTGTGCAGGCGGTAACCTGGAAAATAATTCATTATTCACTTTCTGACTCTCCCGTGTTTTGGGACTCATTCGCGCCGTGTGGGCAGTGGCTCCCCGTGTTGGCGAGGGCGAGAATTCCCTAAACCTTGTTGTGACTGGAAGTCCAGCATCGCCGGCAAAGATATCGTCATCTTCGGCCACATGCAGCTGGTTCGGTTTACTGGGGGACTGGGAAGGGGTGGCCGGCTTGCTGGCGGGACTTCCGGGTGCATTTGCGCGGACCGCATTCGGCGAGATGACTGTAGATTGCCGTCGAAATGGAGAGGTCCTTGGTGAGCCGAAAGAAAGAGGAGACGGTTTATATGGCGTGGTATTGGGTGTCACCTAGCAGGGCTCAGCATTAGTTCGTCTTTGTCTCGGATAGGTGAAGATGTCGGACCATATTTGCTAAATAGAACAACTCTGTAAGTAGTTTATTCAAAATCGCGGGTGTATATATATATAATTTCGGAGTTCTTCTGCATCTGCTCGGCCAGCGCGCTTTATCGATTGTTGAAGGGTCAGCAGGGCTACAATTACCGCATCCGGCAAAATAAAAACATACGGATTCTAATTAATCCGAACCGTTCCCCGCAGTTTGGAGGAACAATATTCCGGTCTGGAAGCGGAGAGCGCCTCCGTGTGGCCCGTGCACGGCGCCGCCCAAGCAGACCAAAGAACAGGGACAGGGATCCGACGATGCGACGGAAGATGTGATGGAAGAGTTTTCTAGCATTGACACACGGGCTGGCTTGAAGATTTGGCGTGTTTGATTCTCCAATTGCTCAGTTCATGCTCGCACGTCTTTCTGACAGGTCAGTGCCCTCAGTTGGCCGCCGTAGACAGGCGCAAGACCACGGGTTGCCTGCTGGAGGAAGTTGAGTACCTTACTGACGAGACCTTACTCTGGACGATAGCTATCATTGCTGAATACCCATCACAATGTCGACCACGCTGGCGCATCGACCGTCGCTGAGCGGTTCCGTTCGTGACAAACGCCGATCGGTTTCGTCGTTCCCTGCTTCGATCACGTCCTCAAGCGCCCATTCTGATGCCCACGGAAAAGTACGCTCGAATACGTCCCACGAGAGAAGATCGCCTGCCAGTTCACAGGTATCTACGAGACCGCACTCCGTGTTATCGTATGGGAGCTTTGAGAAGGGGAAACGGCGGTACCGGTCGCAATACCCGGCGGACTCGCCCGAACTCCATGTCGAATATATCCTCGTCGCTTCGTTCCACGTAGATCGTGGGCCAATTATGGAGCATCAGTATCCTGCAGCAATTAGTGGGGATGAAAATATGTTGGCGGAGTTAATGTTGCCGGACCAAACGCATGTGCGAAGCCAAGACTGGACAATGTTTTTTCTGCACCGAGACGCCGGCCCGGAGGAAGATAATGAATCTAGAGCGGACTCTCAGGGCCAAGAAGAGAAAGATCCGAATGAGGCTAATGATGATCATGATGAGGTACAACAGGAAGGGGCCAAACAAACTTCTTCCGAAGGTGGAGAGCAAGATAATAATAATATGGAGAACAATGGCGACGACGAAGATGACGAAGATGATGATGATGAAGCAGATGGTGGCAACGATGGCCCGCCATTGATGTATGTGCTGAATTTGGTCAATACAAAGCAAGATAATACTGTAAAACGGTAAGCGATCAACTCGGATTTGCCGGTGATTGTATGTCTGACTTCATCCTAGAGGAGCGGTGGTCAAGGCCATGGCGATTTGCACCCGACATTCTTTTCTTCACATATACAAGGCAAGTTTTTGATCAATGCTTGGAAGCTAGCAATTCTAATATCAACACAGCCTTTGCTTCTACTTGCGTTAGAAGATTACTTTAAATCACCCTTTCCAGAAACCTTAGCAGCACTTTATGACTCCTTGAATGCCATGGACCTTTCCCTAATGCCACGACTTTCGTATCTCGAACGGCACATCCTACAAGCCACGGATGTGAAAGACATGTTTATCGAGAAATTCGAACGAATGGTTAAACAGCGCTTAGCAGACGAACTGACGATACACAAACTTCAAGGTGGCGACCAGGACTCCTTCTTGCCAAAGAAATACCCCCTCCCCAGAGACACCCACGAATTCGAATCTAAAATCATATACAACGACATTGCTATCCCCGTCAAAGTCCCCACAGCTCTCTCGCCGGAGACGGTTGGTGACTTCTCCTTAATCAAGTTAATACAGACCTTCTCGGGCCCGCATGCGACATCTCCCCAAGCGTTACCTCTTCATCCTCACCTAACCACCAGCGGTCCCTTCACGCATCCAATCATCGTCCTCGTCAACGCCTTACTTACGCAGAAACGCGTGATATTCCTGGGGCACAACCGTCCGTCCGGGGAGGTTGCCGAAGCGGTGTTAGCGGCGTGTGCCTTGGCGTCGGGGGGCATCCTTCGCGGGTTTACCCGCCATGCGTTCCCGTACACGGACCTGACTAAAATCGACGATCTGCTCAAGGTTCCTGGCTTCGTTGCCGGTGTCACCAACCCGGCGTTTGGCAACCACCACGAGTGGTGGGACCTGCTGTGCGATCTGCCCAGCGGCCGGATCAAAATCAGCAGCCGCATCGAGGCGGCGCCGGTCACGGAGGGCACGCAGTTCTTCCAGCATCACGCGCCGCTCAGCGCGTCGTCGATCCTGGGCGGCGGCAGCCACTCGTCCGCGGACCCCACGGGCGACAACCACTTCATGGAGGACATCATGCGCAGCATCGCGTCGCGCCACGGGGAGCGCGCGATCCGCGCGAAGTGGAGAGCGTACATCACCAAGTTCACGCGCATCTCCGCGACGTTTGAAGAAATCGTGTACGGCGCCAGCGCGCTGTCGGTGATCTCGCCGGGCGAAGAGGCGGTAGAGGTGCACTCGCCGGTGCAGGCGGCGGAGGGGGCGGCGGACGCGGCAGCGGGCCTCCGCGGGCACGGCTACGTGTGGCCGGACGACCTGACGCGGCACCGCGAGCTGGCGGCGTGGGTGAACCGCATCGAAGGGTGGCGCAACACGCGGTCGTACTACTACTTCATCCAGGACACGGCGGCGCTGTACGCGGCCAGCAAGCCGGTGCGCAGCGTGGACGTGCACCACCACCACGACCGGCTGCGCGCGCTCAAGCTCAGTCCCGCCGAGTCGGGCGCCATCTACCTGGCCTTCGCCAACGCCGTGCGCCACCACGCCGCCGTCTGCCAGCTGCTCGCCATCACCCCCGAGAGCCAGGCCGGCCTGTTCTACATCTCGCTCGGCCTCTTCCACCCGGACGCCGTCGTGCGCTCCGCCACCCTGGCGCTGCTGGAGCGCATCGCCGAGCACGAGGCCGGCCGCCATCTGTGGGCGCAGCTGAGCCGCTTCACCAAGGTTGCGTATTTCCGCATGCGGCGCGAGCGGAATGGCGAGGTCGACGGCGGTGTGTTGCTGAGGTCGGCGACGTCGCCGCTGTCGGCGCTGTCGTCGAATAGCCATGAGGTCAAGGTGCGGAGGAGCTAGGTATGACGTCGTGACGAAGGTTCTTTTATCTATTTTTGTTGCTGTGATGAGACCAAATTGATGATTTTATGTCTATCTGTTCGTCATGCTTACGCAAAGAATTTCCAGGTATCTTTTTTTTTTTCCTTTTTGGTTTCAGGACAGGCGAGAATTTCTACTGACTATACCCTTCCAGCAATTTTTTTGCTGTCATCTCTCTTATGTTAGCTGGCTATCAGGGCTGTTCTCTTCTATAACCACGGTTTCATGCTTGGCCTTCTTTTTTTTTTGTGTTTCGCCTTGGAGTGGCTAATGCTTGGGATAGCTAGTCAGTATTCAAGGAGCTGTTTTATATTGTTTTGAGTATCTTGGTATAGCAAAGATAATACTGATCTATATCTCCTTCAGCCAAACCCTTTTTTTTCTTCACCCCGGAGCAGTCGTTAGCTAAGCGAGGTAAACCCCCTGGTCCTTGAGGTGCTGCAACAAACAACTCTTCCAGGAGTTAGTACTGCAACAAGTGTAGAACCCAACAGGCGTTTCCACCGCGTTTTGTATTAGTATTATTTCTCTCTAACGATTAATTACATTAGTCTTAACATTATTATCAGGGTTTGGATACATGTAATTTTTAGAGGGGGGGCTTTTAGTACGGAGTCTGGACCTACTAACAGGTTTACTACTCCGTGCAGGCCAACCCACGCACATCGTCAAAGAACAGCGGGTTTGAGAAAAAAAAAATAGGGCATACCCCATGTATTAGTATACAACAAAAAAAAAAGATCAAACACGATGAAACCCCCAACTCCATGGCTATGGTCATAGAAGCATCCAATCAAAAGAAAAGGAAAGCAAAAGGAAGGAGAAGATCACTTGGGTGTATGTACACAAGGGGGGCCCAAGTGACGGGAAGAAACGGGGGGGCGCGCGCGTTTGGGGGGGGGGGGGGGGGGGGGGGGGGGGGGGGGGGGAGGGGGGGGGGGGGGGGGGGGGGGGGGGGGGGGGGGAGTTTAAATGACAGGGAAGAGGGAGAGAGATAGAGAAAGAAGAAGGATAATAATAATAAAAAGTGATATAAAGGAATGGATCTTTTTTGGTTTTGGAGACGAACAAAGTAATAAGACAAGACTATAGGGTAGGGATGGGTGTCACAGAAAACCTTCTAGAAACAACGTCATCAGCGCCAGGAGGGGCAGGGCGAGATAGAGCTGGGGGGACCGCGAGGCCGACACGGGCAGGGCGGCACTCTTCACGCGCTCAGAGACGAAGGCCGGGCCGCAGCCGATGTTGATCTGCTGGGCGGTGGGGAGGTAGGTCTTCGCGAGCGGCTGGTCCTTGATGGCGGCGGCGCGCGAGTAGACCTCCATGGTGGCCTGCAGGCACTTGTTGCACTCGGGGCGCGTGGAGCCGGGCAGCGGGGCGCCGAGGGCGATGTGGTAGACGAAGGTGTTGGCGACGGTGGCCTCGGAGGCGAGGGCGTCGGCCATGCAGTAGCTGCCGGTGTCGGGGTTCTTGAGGCAGGCGGCGTCGTGCACGAACTGGTAGGCGACGAAGCCGGTCTGGGCGTTGAGGGCGAGCGGGTTCTGGGCGTCGAGGTCCTTGGAGCAGACGTCCTTGGAGACGAGCTCGCGGTTGAACTGGGAGAGCAGGGCGGCGCACTTGGCGGCGTCAACGGCGCACGAGGCGTCGAGCGCGCGTGTCAGCGAGACGAAGGATTTGGCGGCGTTGAACCACGACTTGGAGGTGGCGAGCAGCAGCGAGACGGGCAAACATTCCCTGAAGGTAGTGTTGGCCAGGAAGCGGCGGAAGAAGTCCCCGCAGGACTGGGTTGCGAAGGAGTTGTTGCCAATGGTGGTATCGAAGGCGGACGGAAGCGGGCCGGCGGGCGCGGTGTTGGTGGCCATGATGATGCTGGAAGGAGCCGGCAGGCCGGACGGCGACGGGCGTAGGATGGACGGGCGCGCGGTGACGGCGGCGGTGCTGGTGGGCGCCATCAGGCCGTTGGAAGCGCTGCTGGGCGCGGCCTCGCTGGCCGGCGCGCGGTTGCGCAATAATAACGGCGTGGGCGATGGATCGGCGAGGATCGCCGGCGGATGGGCGCCAGCCAGGGCGGCTGCGCGTGCTGGACGGCCATGGGCGGCCGCAGCAGGCGGCAGAAGGCACAGTAGGAGTAGCAGAAGGGGTATTAACAGAGGTAGCGAGCGTGAAGGCGAAGAAGACGACGCAATGGTATGGTGGTGGTGGTGGTGATGTTGACGGTGACGGCGGGGGGGTCTCGCGGGCACAGGCGTGGGAAGGGCGTCGCGCGAGGCGGCCAGCAGACGGGCGGCGGACGGCATGGAAACGAGCGAACGGACGGCGAGCGAACGAGGAACTCAGACGGGCATTGCTGAGGGAGTTGGGGGCGCGCGAGGGCTGGGATGCTTCATGTCCGTTGAGCACGCACGCACAAGCACACGCACACGCACACGCCCCTGGTGGGTGGCAGGGCAGAGGCGGGTCGAAGCCGAGTAGGGGGAGAGGGAGGAGGAGAGGGAGAGGGAGAAGCGAGCGAGCGAGAGACGGAGAAGGGAGGGAGAGAGGAAGAGGGAGAGAGAAAGGGAGAGAGCGAGAGAGAGAGCGCGAGGGCTGAGATGTAACAGAGTGACTCGGCGATCTGATCGGGCGTCAGGGGCCGCCGCCGCCGCCGCCGCCGCGTGGAATCGCCAGCTGGGCGGCCACGCGAAACGAGCGCCAGAGTTAATATCAGCAGTTATGCTCTTTCAATCAATAAATAATATCTTCGCCCAGCGCATAGCCCGCCAATAGTGCAGCCTCGCCGCCACCAATATATCTCCGACCGAACCGCCATCCACGCCCACGCCCTTCCAGAACACACTGACTGTGTTTGTGTTTGTGTTTTATTCTTCCTTTCCTGCCCGTGTTGATTGTCCGCCGTGGCTTGGGGGCCCTGGCCCCCGGCCCCCGCAGAGTCGCACACGCAATATTACGCACCGCCTGCACGCTGCCAGTTCCTGTTGGGCCGCTCCCGGTCGCTTCTCGCGAACTACCGAACGAACCGTTCGTTTCACGGCGGCTGTTTGCTGCTGTCAATTACGGAGTCTTTGGTGCTTAACTTCTAGCATTCGGGTCTGGCCACGCCCGGCACGTCCAGCGACTGGTGGAGACCAAACACCAGTGTTTCAGCGCCGTCGACCGTCCTACACAGCGAGCGAAAGAGAGACAAAAAGTCAATTGCGGCACACCGCGGCCAGTCTATGCTTGCACGCTGTACAGAGGTCATCCTGGCCCTGGTTCTTTGGCCCTTCTCGTCTGCTTCCACTGCGCGCCCGCATCGCTGCCACGCCGGCCCTGCCCGTCATGCCCGAACAGCGTTTGTCCCTGCGGCGTCCGTTTGGCTTTTGGCGTCGTGATTTCAGAATACGATCGATGGAGAAGGACCCGTGGTGTGGTTCCGTGGGACTGACCACAGTAATACGGTAGCCACGCAGCAGCAGCAGCAACAGCAACAGACTCCATGCACAGAAAAGTGAGCCCTCGCGCACATCCCGTTCCTATTTATTGATTCTTCCGTCCCATCGTCCCCGCCCGCCCGCGCCCCCCTTTCATCTTACGACGAGGCGGCAGCCGTGGGCGTCGCTCTTTGTCGTCGCTCTGCGATCGCCAGCCGCACGCCCTCGGGCACCACCTCCCATTCCACCTCGTGGATTCTCTTCTCGAGCGCCGCGAGGTCCTCATCCACCCCTTTGATAAACGGGATTTCCCGCACCAGTATAGGCCGGCCCATATCCACCTCCGCAATGACCTTGTGTATCATCACGCCCGTCTTGTCAATCTTGCCCTCCAGCCACGCCGCCTGCGCGCGTTCGATTGCATGCTAACAGAAGAGAGAGAGAACAAAGACTCAGCAACATATTCCCCAACAGCTCTCAAAAGACCAAAACCAACGTACCGCTCCATTGAACTGGCCCGGCAGTGCCGGATGCAGATTGATGATATCCACGCCCGCGCGCTCCAGCGGGTCCAGAAACGTCCGGGACAGGATATGTAGAAAGCCCAGGCACACGACCAGCCCCGGCGCGTCGGCCAGCACCAGCCGCGCCAGCTCCGCGTCGTACAGCGCGCGCGCCCGCCGCACGCCCTCGTCCGTCGCCGGCTGCGCCTGCTTGTACTTGAGTAGATTGTGGTAGTGCGTGTCGATGCCCGCCCGCCGCGCCCGCTCCAGCCCGAACGCCTCCTTGCGGTTCGAGATCACCCGCACCACCGTCGCCGCGCCCGCCAGCTGGGCGCCCGCGATGCTGTCGAGCAGCGCCTGCAGGTTGGACCCGTTGCCCGAGATGAGCACCGTGAGCCGCGTCGTGGCCGGGTCCATCGTGGGAAGTGCAGCCGTAGGAAGGGATAGGGTGGTGAGTGTGGTAGATTTCGAGAGTCGGGAGCTGACGGTTGACGATGAAGCGATCGCGGGGGGTTTTTTTCTGGCGGCGGTGGTTTTGCGCTGAACTTTTTTTTTTTTGGCGGGGGGGGCGGGAAGCTGGTCCGGCGGGCACGAATCACCATGCGGAGTCACTGCTCACTCGCACCGCATCCTCCCGCAGCCACAGACGGCTCTCGCTCCAGGGTGCTAGGTCCTACGTCCGGTCTATCGCGCCGTCGGACTCCTGCTCGGCACTCTGCTGGCCTCGCCCTCTTGCAATCAGAACAGCAGTCAGGTCAGCTCGCACGTGACTGCCGAATCCGGAGATCCGCCGTCGCCGCCGGTGCTCTGAGAACGAGACGCCGATATCAGGGCGTGGAGTGGGAGAGCTGCCCGCTGCCGGACAAAGCTTTACGCGCCTGCTCCTGACAAAACAGGCTTGATTTCAGGTGCCTAGACAAAATGTCTCTCGAAGGGCTGGTGCCCGAGACCAGGGTGCTGGCCATTGCCAGTCATGTATGAAACCCGCCCTGGCATCCTAGATCTGATAAGCTGATGCGTTTGCATAGGTCGTCTACGGGTATGTGGCTCCGTCCCGGTAGCGTCTTTCTTATGAGCCTCCCGGCGAGGAGCTATTATCCTTGTCTGCATGAGTGCTCTGATTTTGCCCTTGGATATACCCCTCTCCGCCAGGTGACACAGGCTGTGCAACCAGCGTGTATGGCTTTGCACCGATGTCTGACAATGTCGCGGAGTAATATAGATACGTGGGAAACACAATGGCAACCTTTGTGATGCAGTCCCTGGGGTGCGAAGTTGCTGCCCTAAACACCGTCAATTTCAGTGAGCCGCCTGCGTCACGACTCGCCAGGTAGATGGGAAACTCACAGTATCAACAGGCAATCACACCGGCTATGGCCAGATTACGGGGACGAAGGCGTCTGCCCAGGAAATCACCGCTCTTTACCATGGCCTGCGCCAAAGCTACCTCACCGACTTCGACGTGCTCTTGACCGGCTACGCCCCCAGTGCGGCGGCGGTGGAGGCCGTTGGCGCCATTGGCCGAGAATTGCAGCAGAAATCGGCCTCGCGACCGGGGTCGTTCTTCTGGAGTGCGTCTTACTACTTCTTTCCCGTGCCGCTGCGCGCTCTTGGGAGTTTTCCCATGGCAGTGCCAACCCTCCCCCAAATGCTGACGCGGCTGGCAAGCATTAACTATTGTTCTTAGTTCTCGACCCGGTGATGGGAGACCAAGGCCGCATCTACGTCAATGAAGACGTGGTGCCCGCCTACAAGTCGTTGATACCACATGCCGATCTGATACTGCCGAATCAGTTCGAAGCCGAGTGAGTGTGTTTTTTTTCTTTTCGTTCTGTTCTTTTTAAATGCCGCCCTGAGCTTTGATGTACCCTGGGGAAGAAGGGATTGGGGGCGGCGTCTCAGGTTCCCAGTCATTGCCGTCGCCCTGTCCCCCTCCCGTAATCTCGGCTATGCGACTATGTAAATTAACACAATTGCCTGGCGCGTGCTGCTGCTACACAGATTGCTGTCGGGAATCACCATCAAATCCCTGGCCGACCTCGCTGCCGCCATCGCCGCCATCCACCGGACGTACCACGTCCCACACGTCATCGTCACGTCGGTGCAGCTTCCCACCACCACCAGCACCACCACCGACGGAGCCGCCCGCACCGCGCCGCCCAACACCCTAGTCATCATCGGCTCCACCGTACGCTCCGACGGGTCGCCGCGGCTGTTCAAGGTCGACGTGCCGTGTCTGGACTGCTTCTTCTCCGGCACCGGCGACATGTTCGCGGCGCTCATGGTGGCACGGCTGCGCGAAGCCGTCTTCGCCGACAACGCTCACGCTGACGCCCACGCCGCGCCGAACACCTCGCCCCTACTGCGCGAGACCCCGTCGTGGGTCTCCCCTGACCGCGTCGCACCCGCGGACCTGCCGCTGGCCAAGGCCACCGAGAAGGTGCTGGCTAGCATGAATGCCGTTCTGGAGAGGACCATGGCGGCGCGGGCGCGGGAGCTGGCGGGTCATGTGGACGGAGATGGGAGTGAGGGGGAAGGGGAGGGCGTGACGGAAGCGGAGCGGGAGCGGGCGGCGGAGAAACGAGCGCGGCTGCGGAGGACGAAGGCGGCGGAGGTCCGGCTGGTGCGCAATGTGGATCTGTTGAAGAATCCGAAGGTGAAATTCTTTGCGCAGGAATGTCGGATATAGAAGTACTTGATGCTTTGAGCACCAAGGCATATAAACTATATATATTACACACACGCACGCACATCAGATACCATCTCTCAAAGCGAGGTATAGATATTTAATGTAAGTCTATAATAAGTGAAACAAGAATGTATTTTACTAGACACTTGTGGATATTTCTCCCTTTGGTATATCTAACCATTGCCATTTCAAGATATCTTGCATTTATTTCCCACCTTTCATGCTCTATAAACCAGAAATCCCAGTGAGCACCAGAGAGTCTATAAGAAATTCGTATGTATCGTGGAGGGGGAGGGGCATAATAATACAAAACTGCCGTAAACCCCACTCAACCGGTGCTCCCAAACCCACCGGCACCGCGGACACTCTCTTCTAACTGCTCCACAACCTGCACTTCAGGTGTATAGATCTAGACCATAATCCCGTCAGCTCTCGCCTATATATCAAACTCAAAAAGTTAAGTGGGGGGGGGGAACATCTGAAGCTTACCCGCTCGAGAACCAGCTGCGCAATCCGATCGCCCTGGTTGATCGTAAAATCCACATCCGAGAAATTGAACAGCAGCACCTTGACCTCGCCGCGATAGTCGGCGTCGATCACGCCGGCGCCGGTGTCGATGAAGTTCTTCGACGCCAGGCCGCTGCGCGGCGCGATTCTGCCGTCTGATTTGGTAAAGACGTGGTGATTAGCGGTGTCTTTATTGGCAGATAATAATAATAATGTAGGTGTTCAGCTTACATGTACCATTGGGCACAGCGATAGCGAGCCCTGTGTCGACAAGGCCCTTGCCCTTGGAGGGAATGACGGTCTGCTTCGCGGCGTAGAGATCATAGCCAGCCGCAAAGGCGGAGCCGCGCGTCGGTGTCTGGGCGTGGGGGGCTAGTTTCTTGACGAGTAGCGGTGGAAGGGCATTGTTGTTGTTATTATTCTTATTATTATTCTGAGGGAGAGCGGTGACGGCAGGAGCTGCTGACTCGAGCACTGCAGACATCTCGGCTGTCTTGGGGCGTTTGGCGAGAGGAGAGTTGGGAAGGGAGGGAGCGGGGTGTGAAGCGCCGGTGTCGGTGGGATTCTGCTGGGGTGGAGGGGTGGTGGTGTCTGTGGTCATGGTAGGATTTGGGATTGTGGTATTTTGTTGGGGTTGGGTGAGAACTGAGCAACAATCATCCACAGGGTGACTTGATCCAAAGCGGTTTGCTCCTGCGACTGAACGCGCGTTGGTGGAATCGGACGTGTCAAAACGCGGCGGCACGTGAAGGTGTGCCTGACTAATATAGTCTAGCCTAACCAGGCAAGGCGGGATTCCCGCGAGCCTCAAAGTTTCCAAGGGGATGGGGAAGCGCTAGGCCACATGAGCACTAGCGGCTATTGCCACTGCTGAACGGGCCATCACGCATTCCGTGCCTCGGTCCCCCGGTTGTCTTGAGATCCAACCCAGAATGCTCCGACGGGAGCGTGAAACCTGGACATTTTTATCCAGCCCATTCATTCCGCATATTCTGCCCAGCTTCGCTACTCCGTACTCTTAATCACCTGTGATTGAGAAAAACAGCATTTTCCAACCACACCCCGGCTTGTGCCATCCTGTTGTCGAAGATCAAAATGGCCGGCGCTGTCCGTCAGCCAATTGATGTGCCCGCCCTCGAGCGTTACCTCGAGCGAACTGTTCCTTCGATTAAAGTCCCCCTGGGTGTTAAACAAGTATATCTCCCTGTCGTTGCTGCCGGTTTTTCCTGTTGAATTGGATCCCAGTGGCTAACTCTTTCGATCAAACTAGTTTGGATTTGGGCAATCCAACCCTACCTACCTGCTCACAGCGTCGGATGGACAACAGCTCGTGTTGCGGAAAAAGCCGCCCGGCAGGCTTCTCTCGAGAACAGCGCACCGGGTAGATAGAGAGTACCAGATCATTCATGCGCTCCACAAGACGGACGTCCCGGTTCCCGAGGCCATTTGCTTGTGCGAGGATGACAGCATCATCGGCACGGCGTTCTACATCATGGAGTTCTTGAATGGGCGTATATTTACCGACCCTTCGATTCCGGACGTTAGCCCAGCAGACAGAAAAGCGATGTAGGCATATGCTAAATGCGAAAAGCACCCAGCAGCAACCGCAGCATGAGTATGCACGAGCTAATTGGATTTTGTCACTAGATGGAAAGACGCGGTGGAGACGCTGGCGAAGTTTCACCGACTGAACCCAAAATCTATTGGCATGGAAAAGTTCGGCCGACCGTCTGGTTTCTATGATCGGCAAATTGCTACGTTCCGGACGATTTCCAAGGCACAGGCCAACATAGCCGATATCGAAACCAGTATTCCCGTGGGGGATTTGCCTCATTTTGACGACATGGTGGAGTTTTTCTCCAATAAGGACTGGCAGCCGAAGGATCGAGGCACGTTTGTTCACGGCGATTATAAAATCGACAATATGGTGTTCCATAAGACAGAGCCCAGGGTGATTGGGGTGCTGGACTGGGAGATGGCGACTATCGGGCATCCCCTATCCGATTTCTGCAACTTGACAGGGCCATATCTGCACCCGAGTGGAGCTCCCAACAGCATAAAGTTCTCGCCTGGCGACGTCCCTGGCCTCCCTACTAGGGAGGAGTGTATCCAATGGTACAGCCAGATTGCGGGGTGGAATCCCACGTCGGAGCTGCTCTGGGGGGATGCGTTCTATGGGTTCCGCGGGTCGGTGATCATGCAAGGGATAGCAGCGCGGTATGCGGTGCGGCAGGCGAGTAGTGCGCACGCCAGGGAGTATGGAAAGCAGATGGGGCCGTTTGCTGTCCGTTCATATGAGAAAGTTAAACAACTGAAGGATGAGGCGCTGCGAAGGAACAAGCTCTAGACCTCAGTGACAAGAAAGCATTTGCAGCCAATATAGTTTGCGCCCAGCGCTCTGGTTTCAAAACCTGTTTCGGCGGTGTACAGCGTCACCTATTATTTACAATGAAAAAGCTCCGTAGTTCCGCATGTACCCCTCCAGGTTGCTGGGATCGCCCCTGAGAGAAATGCGGCCCCGAGAGTCTTGTCCTGGCAGGGCGCGTACTCCGTAGAAGGGGTTCGTCAGCGGGTTGCAGGCATGAAGCTCCGCCTAAAAAAAAAAAAAAAAAAAAAAGCCACCAGAGCTGGAATGAGCACAGAATCTGCACGAAGCATGCACGGGTCGCAGGAGCAGAGGCCTCCGCCGTCGGGCTCCCATGCCGGCCGTGGGAGCAGTAGCAGTGCTCCATCCAGGGCGGACCTGGATTATGAGAGTTGGTCGCCGGTAACCACTTCTCCAGCGTTTCGGACGACAGCTCGTTAGCCGTCAATTGGAGCCGCGTCCGGGTAAATAATGATCCCCGCGCCGCGCGACGCAGCAGCAGAGCAGCCGTGGCGGGACGGGGGTGGCGGGCCATCTGGCAGCAGCACGATGCGACCAGCAGGGGGATAGTAGTGAGGTAGTTATGCTTCTTCACGGCTGCATGGTGGGACGATGTTGTGCGGGCTGCAGGCGGTAGTGCAGGGCCAGCGGGTGGCCCAGTCGTGGGGGTGGCGCGCCGAGCAGGGCGGCCAGGGCGCCTGTTGAAACGGTGAGACGGACGGGGGTGATGCCGACCGCCCAAGCACACTACTACTGGGCGGTGGCAAGGCGCCAAACAAGCCTTGCGGTCTGCACACCTGTTTGACGAGACTACTGTAACTCACCGGGCTGGCGAGAGACCTGCAGACGGCGGCGGAGAGGGACGTTGGGGCAGGCCAGCATAAAGCGGCGACACCCCACCGGGGGGCAGCGGGACAGGCCGTCCACTAGCGGGCAAGCAAAGCCTCGTATTGCAGTCTTGTAGCCACGCCTGGCGGCGTGCTGGGCAGCAGACAGCGCATCATGCTACAACGGGCGGCGCCAGGCCGGCGGTGGCGACCAGCGGCCCTCAGCAGCAGCGCAGGTCGGTCCCTAGCAAGTACTCCGTAGGTACACTGCCTCCGTCGGCCAGCGCCCGCGAGGCCGGGCGGCGGTCAGCTGATTGCGGCTCTGCAGGCGCATGGGGCTCGCTGGCGGGGCTAGCCGCTTCGGGCACAGCGCGAGCGAATTGTCGCTGCCCGCCCGCGCGCAGCCACTGCCGCCCTCCCGCTGCCCGCTGACGTTGCACCCTCTGCGCTGCCCAGCCCAGCCCGGGCCTCGCCCTCGTCCGCGAGACAGCATGCTGATGCTGCTGCTACTGCCGTTGCTGCCGCTGTTGCTGCTCTGACGCCCGCTGCCTGCCCTGTTCTCCGCCTGCCCCGCGCTACGGAGCCCAAGCTCGCCGCGTTGCTGTACCCTCGCTCAGCCAGCGTCCGTCCACCACAGTCTGCCCCCCGCGCCGCTCGCTCGCTCAGCGCCGCACTGGAGCTCCCCTGCCGGCCCTGGCGCCTGCTCCCCCGTCGTCGTGTCTCGTCGGTCCCGGTAAGGTCCTCATCGTGCGTCGCTTGTTTTGCCTCTTGCAGACTTTTAGATTCGATGGTGCAGCTTGGCTTGCTTTAGCATCCCTCCGAACGTGACCCGGTTCCTCACTTCGGGCGGCCGTGCGATGCAATTTATTTATGTCTGATCCGCTGCTGCTGTGGCTTGTCGCCCGTTGTCGCCCTTCTGCTCTTGCTCCTACTCTCGTCGCTCCCGTCGTTTCTGCCTTCTCTCCCGTTTGTTGCGCTGCCGGCCGCGTTGCCGCTGCCCGCTCCCACGCCCCCAACCAACAGGCGGTGAAACAACAAGCGCTGACCGTTCTCAAGCAGTCGGGCACACCCGATCCTACCTTCATGCTGCTCTGCCGTCGAGCCCGTTTCTCACAGCCGTGACATCATTCGAGCGAGCCGTTTTTTTTTTTTTTCGCTTTTCGTCCTTTCGTGATTTGCTGTCTAGCGATCTCCCGTCCGGTTCACTCGCTCCAGCCTCGTCGTGTGGCATTGACGCCAAATTTTCTGGATGATTGCCGCCCTGAGTGTGGCCTATGTCATGAACAAAATCATGGACCACGATGTCTATGACTCTGACGACGCGCGCGCGACCACCCCTCCCCTCAAACAGTCCCTTGTCGACCTCCGTCCCTACCAGAGCCCGCCCCCGCCCTTTCTTCCCGACAAGAGCGAGAGCCCAAAGGGAAAAGAAAGTCCCTCTGGACGTGTCCGTAAGGATTCTCATCGGCGCGGGAAGCGGCGTAGAACGTCCATTGGAATCGGGCTAATAATCGGAAACCTAGCGCCCGACCGACCAGATCTTGTGGCACAGCTCAACCAGGCGCCGTTATTATCGGACTCAGCCTCCGAAATCAGCGACGCCGACGATGGAATCGACCAGAGGAGGCGTAAGCAGGGTTCGGAGGAGCACAGGCGCAACTCTCAGGTTTATAGCCCGAAAATGAGAGCGAACGGCGCCAATGCCCCTCCCCGTGAACAAACTTGGCCGCTGCCGAACGAGACGGCAACGCTGAAGAAAGGCCAGAGTTTTAACGACCATGACCGAATTCCGTACCGTATTCCAATGACCCAGCCATCGTACCCTCTGCCTATACATCCTTCTCATAATGATAATCGAGACTTGACGGGAGGCTTGATGAAACGACCCGAAGAACTTGTACATCGGGATCAACAACGTTCTCAGTTTTCTCGAGGTGACCTTGGATCCCCCACTCTCCCTGCCTTGCAATCTCCTCCCCAATCAATTGGGTCCCCAGATTCTGCGAGAAATCTACCATCGATCAAAGCCCTTGTGGAAGGCTCTTTGAACGAACCGGTACGACTGAATGGGTCTAAACAGTCTCATTTTCCCATCTTGGGAACGCTGGAACCCCAATACATGCAGCCGCATTTTCCTCGCACCTCCTCTTTTACCCATCTCTCCCCCGCCAGTTCTAAAGATGTATCAAGCCACGCCTCTACACCAGCAGCCGGTGTTCCTCAAGGATCTTTCTGGCCTGCACAGCTGAAGTCACAATCGCAGTCGCAGTCGCAGTCTCCGGGTGATACCGGTTCTCACCTCGTGGGAAGCCCTGCCAATGGATATCCAACACCAGTGGAGCCTAGGAAGGATGAGCCAGAAGATGCTGCCGGGCTCAACAAACGAGTCAAGCCACCTGTGGCCCAAAATCTTGGTGGGTTTAAATGCACCCATCCTGGCTGTACTGCAGACCCTTTTCAAACTCAATATTTATTAAAGTAAGTGTTTCGCCAGTTTTACCCGCAAAGGGTGCCTCGCTGATTCAATCACAGCTCTCATGCAAATGTGCATTCAGATAATCGCCCTTATTATTGTCCTGTAAAAGACTGCCCACGCGGTGAACAAGGCAAGGGATTTAAGCGAAAGAACGAAATGATCCGCCATGGATTGGTTCACGATTCTCCTGGATACGTTTGCCCGTTTTGCTCCGACCAGCAACGGCGATATCCGCGTCCAGACAACCTCCAGAGGCAAGTTCAAGTGTGAAAGTAGGATTGCATTTGTATTAATATGTACAAATAGGCACGTTCGAGCTCAACACACAGATAAAGAGAAAGACGATCCTTTACTACGACACGTCCTTGCAAAAAGGTCGGAAGGCGTTGCCCGAGGAAGGCGCCGACGAGCCTAACATATAGCCAACCCGACGCTGTCGTTTTCACCTTCCCAGCGAATTTTACGAATCTGCATTCTGATTTTAACCGTGATTGACTTTCCGCGATTATTGGGTTCGTAACTATCTCTTTTACGCTACCAACGGCCCCTCGTTCTTCCCTGGCTTCTTCGCCCAGTTTCTATGTTACGGAGTTTCGAGATGAAAACAAGGCATCGGACGAGTCACGACTTTGCACATACCTTCTTCATATATATATATACTTATTCTCTCGCTGGGGTGCATTTGAATTATGATCGCTGTTTCTCTGGTTCTGTAGCGGAAAAGGATGATATGAGTCTCTCTCATTTACGAAAGCGCGGCTATCGCGTCATGTTCTTTGCATTTACTTGTCGGGTGTCAGAGATTGCTGCAAAATCTGTTCATTTTTTTCTTCCGTTCTTGTTTTATTGTCGAGCGGCTGTGAGATGATCTTTGTAAGTTTGTCTGATATTATGTGAGGTGTTATGGAAATGGACTGGTTCGCATCGATCGGGTATGGCGACTGAAGGTCAGATGAAATGGAATTGACTAGGTATGGAGTGTGGTTTACGAATACACCAAGATCAACTGAGCAAAATGTAGAGACTTCGCAGGAGCTCAACTAGATCTCAAGTTCATTCCATGGTACTAGGTCCCACCACAAGGTCGTAAAACAAACATGACATTATTGTACTATACATGCGTCGATGGCAATAAAAAGAAGACGAAGTAAACACCTGTAATTACAAACTGCGACATCTAGCTGGTCTATGCAAGGGCAAAATGCATGTACTAGAGGTATACCCAATTCAACTCCAAAACGCGACCAAGCACCATCAAATCCCATATCGCCGTTCATTATCAACCAGTAGAGGCGCAGTAATAAAACTCTCATCATCCTTCGGAGCCGTGTTTCTCTCCGGATACAGTATATAATGCTGCACTATAAAGATAAGGTCGAAAAAAATGCTCACATTGCCCAGCGCGAGCTTGATCAGGTTGCCCGTGATCCCGCTCCAGTCGTCCTGCAGCGCCGAGTCGATGACCAGTTGCAGAATCGACAGAATTCCGCCCGAGAGGTCGAGCAGGATCTGGCCGATGCTCCAGCCCACGGTGGACTTGCGTTTGTAATTCACCCATGCCTGTGGGATGTATTTAATGACTGTAACGACGAGTTTCACGTAGGAGATAGTGTAAATCTAGGCAGTGGTTAGAAAAAAAAAATTGTTTCGAGCGGGCCATGGGGCGGCGATATTTGAGAAACCTACAACGTCTATCCAGGCCCAGCCGGACGGATCATAGCCTCCGTTGGAGGCCACCCAGAGGGTGACGGCGGCGACGGCACATATGCAGCCGCAAAATATTCCCGCCACGGCAGGGCTTACTTTCTGATGCTTCGACACCTTAAAGCCCCATATTGTCGGAAAAAACTGCGTGTAGACCGTGGCGCTCAGCACCACGGCATGCGCCGCGAAGGCGAAGTCGTTGAACCGCACCGACGGCTCCGGCGAAACGGGGTGACGGGCGGCGTACTGCTGGCGGATCACAGGAGAATACAGGAAGGCGGCGGTATATATGGCGTAGCAAATGAAGCCAAGGACATTGGTGGTGGGGAAATCGACGGCGAGGCCTTGCGTGGAGCGGCGCTGCCAGTTGAGGATCGGCTGCGGGTAGAATGAGGCGGACCAGCAGAACATGCTGCGTTCTTGTCAGAATGATGCAGGCGGGTGTGTATATGGTCAAGGCGAGAGCGCAGGCATCTCGCCGAGGTCTGAAACGTACTATATCCACCCGATGAGCCTGTAAGAAGCAGCAAGCGGTCAGCACGACGAGCGAGTTCAGAGCTTGGATGGCATGTATAGCGCCGTAGTTACCTTGAGATCGCCCTCGCGAACACTTCGCCCTGGGAAGGCATTTTCGCAAAAGGCAGGATAGCTGCGGCTCTCGAACACGCAGCAGCCGACAGGGAAACCGGGAGTCGAGCTAGACGGTCGAGCAGCGCAGCATTGCGGGCGTCGCGCGGTGTCGTTCTGGCGATGGGCCTTCAACCACCTGCTTAGGTCTCGTGGCGGCGTCGATACCGCAATCGGCTTATCAGATGAGCAATGGATCCGCTGACGTAAGCCGGGCGTTGGCCCGGATATGAGCTGTCCGCGCTAAACCCGAATCGGCAAACCGTTGTGGTTTCCCCGCCAGCGGCCCTGCGTGAAGGCTGGCTTGCGTCTGCCAACAGTGACCGGCGGATGAAACCGCAAGGTTGACAGCCCCCTTCTGCCAGTCTGTACTTTAGAGCTCTGTTGCTTTCCCTGTGTTGGGCCTTTCTCGTTCTGCGCAATCTCCCTTCATCCGTGCTATCTATATTTCGATCTAGATTCTCCACGTCCTCACCGCCATATTGACTTGACCTATCTCTATCTACCTTGGTTCCCCATCCAGCCATTCTTTTTTCGTCAGGCCAGATTGCTACCCGATCAAGGCCGCCGCCGGTCCAGCTCGCCGTCGTACAGTCGCTTCTTGAATCAACTGCCCTTATCTACGCCTCGTCCGCTCGACGATCCGGCGCAGCTACTGTTCTGAAAACGAATGGTCTATTCCTCGGGGCGAGGGGTCGATTAGATCTCCTCTGCTGGCTCCGACGGAAGGATACGATATCCTCGCAGACCCGTCTTGAGGTTGTCCTGTCGCCGGCAGATTATTCCTCTCGGACAGAAACTACACAGCCATGTCGCTCTCTCCGCAATTGGCTCCGCCGGGGAGCAGCACATACTCTTCGGATAGCTTACACGTTGGGGATGGGACATGGGATTCACAAAGGAATACATTCTTACTCCCTAATTTAATGGGTCTCAATTTCGCAACGATGCAGTATAATGGTGGGCTTCCACGACCCGTACTGGCCTAACGGGCTGCTAATAAATAATCTTCAGGAATGGGCAACCGATTTCGAAATTTTGAGGGATACCACCCTCTAATTCGGGCGCATGGCGTGATAGCAGCGATTACCTTCCTCGGGCTCGTACCATTCTCCATTTTGCTTCTTCGCTTTTACCACGGCAATCCGCACTTGTCGCTCAGGTTACATATTTGGATGCAAATCCTTGCATTATTTCTTACAACTGTGATATTTGTAACAGGCTGGTTTGCGGTTGGTCCCAAAAGAAGCTTAACGAACCCACATCATGGTATTGGGCTCGCCATATATGTCTTAGTCATATCTCAAATTCTATGGGGGTGGATTGTTCACAGACGCCCACAGAAACGAAGACTATATCTGCCTTTTAAAGAAATGGTAAGCAACCCACTAGACTTTCTCTCTCTCTTCTCTAGATACTAACTTTAGGCAGCTGCATCATTGGTTTGGATGGATAACGGCTCTACTTGGAATTATTCAGATACCCCTGGGCCTCACGTTATATGGCTCTCCGATATCATTGTTTATACTATACACCTTGGCCGTATTCGGTTTGTTCATTCTTTTTACTGTTTTGACATATTTCAACGGCCGATATCTAGCGGGAGTTTACAACTCGCGAAGCTCTTTCAGCGGACCCGAAGTCATCGATGATGGGACTAGCAGCCGTATTCATCGTGGTTTGGCTGGAACAGCTGGCTACGCGGGCCGACAACGAAGCGGATCACGAGGTCGGTCACCACTGAGGCCCGAGGGCAATTTGTTTGGAATAAATGCAAATGAAAAACGCGCCGAGGATAGAAGTTCTGGAACTTGGAAGAAGAGATTGCTCCAAATTGGTGGCGCTGTTGGTGCAGCTGCGATCATCAAAAAATTAGTGGATAAGCGCCGTGATCGTGAAAGCGATGCTGAGTCTGGTAGATATCACCCGGCCCATACGGTCACAGATACCTATGACGACGATTATTCAGTAAGTCGGGTGGACGAGGAACTGCCCCCGCCCGCAGCTGCCCGTCATCGTTATGATCCTCCAGCAAGTTTGCCTCAAAGCCAATACACTGAATCTCAGTCCAATTTCAGAAGCGAAAAAGGCCACGGCCTGAGGAACGCTCTATTTGGCGCAGGGGCACTTGCAGCAATCAGAGGCCTTTTCAAAAGTCGTGCCGCACGGGACGAAGAACGACGCCTTGAAGAAATCAGACAAGCTGACTTAGAGAGCGAGAGAGCAATGAGAGAAAGGCGTTATACCGGAGATGGTCGTTTACCTCGAAGACATGATCGACGATATGGTTCGGTTAGTGATATAACGCCTACTGATGCAGATGATCCTCGGAGCGATCTCCCTCCCGTGCCTCCCCATCGCCATGAACTATCTGGTTCTGGGACGGTGACCTCGCTGGAGCATGATCAGAGGCCAGGCCCCTCAGCAGGGGCTGTGGCTGCTGGTGCCGCTGGTGTCGCTGCTGGAGCAGCCGTTGGTGGGGCAGCCGGCGGTGCATCTAACCGTCGTTTCAACGGCCCGCAAGAAGGCTCAGCCGACTCCCCTCCGGTTTCAATCAAAGTGAAGCTGCACAATAATGGCCGTCGTGTTACGCTCAGGCAGCTAACTAGAGAGGAAGCGGAAGCAGACCGCGAAGCAAGAAGAAAAGATCGCACAAAACAAGGTCGTCGTCGCCGTGAAAGTTCACTTTCTGGTGGTGAAGGAGATGACCACTGGCGTCGAGTTGAAGAATTAGAGCGACGGCAAGCCGAAGACTTGCAACACGCAGATCCTACTGCCACCGCTGGTCCATCTACCGCACCGCCTCCTCCATTAGCTGTTCCGCCTGTTCCCCAAACCGGGCCAGGACCTCCAGTAGGCAGTAACCTTTCAGTTCCAGCTCCACCACCGCCTATACCTGCTGCAAGGCCGTTGAATTCTCCTCTATCAAACAGTACAGATCTAAGCGGCAGTTTTGCCAGTCGAAGTGGCCGTCGACGAGCAGAGAGAAGAACGCAGGCACGGCAGGGAGGCAGCCGTGTTGAGTTTACGTGACATACCTAACCGTCACTGTTTTTATTACCGTGCATGCACATATTAGTCAATTTCACTTCTTATGTTTTATGGGAATGAGGATATGAGGGGAGGGACTTCTGGTAGGGAATTATGAATGGCATTGAATCGGGGGTCCAGGGCGGGGTACACATGCTCTTAAAGGTAGGTCTCATGAACTGGCGCTCAATTTTCTTTCCGATTTTTATTTCAATATTTTTGCTACGGTACCCCCACTGTTTAAATATATGTACCAATAAGGTCCAATTAATCTGTTTTCCAGTACCAGAAACCAAGCCTTCAACAAAAATTCCCCTACAAGTTTCAAAGCGAGTTTTGAGGCAAGTCATTTTAAATTTTTTGTTTTCCATTGTACATTGGTTGAGTTCTAAGAAATCTGCTTTCACATTCTTGGAAAATGTGCCCTGGTGAGGCTTTTTGAATCACAAGAACAGCACACAGCACCAAAATTCTACACGCTTAGTATTTCAGTATTGGTGTCAAGGAAGATATATATGTACACTCTATTTCATAGCGGCCTGAAGGCTCTCGAGAACCTATCGAATTGATATTAGTGAGGAAAACTACCAATGTTAGGACGAGTTATACTCTGCTTACCTCTAATTCAATCTTGGCTTCAGCAATATCTTGTTCGCTTCCGGAGCCAGCGGCGATCTTTTGAGCCTCACCAATTTGGGACTTGATAGCCTGTGAAGAGAATCGTCAGGCGTCTTCTATGAATCACAGCCCGTATGAGTAAACTGATTAATAAAACTGACCTCTGAGCTGAAATCTTCAAGAGGGAAACCCTCAACGGCGTTAATGCTGAGAGTGGAATTTGGTTGAACGACAGCGAAGCCACCAGCAACTATCGAGATTCATGAGCCGTGCTGCACTAATGGGGTTAAATAAGATAGATTTGTTTCACGTACGAAAAAACTTCTTGGTCTGTCCATTCTCCTCAATGATCTCGATGGGACCGGGTCTCAATTGTTCGATGCTTGGAACGTGGTTGGAGAGAATACCCATGTCTCCGGATTCCGCAGAGATGTTGACTTGGACGCTGTTGATATCCGTGATCATATTAGCCATAGTTCGGTTTGCAATTGTAGGCCCCCCGCATTTGTTTTCTCGTCGAAATATCTTGACTCGCAATGGATCTTGGGTAAACATACACATCGGTGGATTTATAGATAGTCTAAAAAAACATACATATTTAGCAATCTAAATAGATTTCACTACCAAATTGGGCACAGATAAATAGTCTATACATACCTCATGGGGCAAGACAAGAGAAAGGCGTAGTTTGTCGTTGACCGCTTGCGCATACGTTCGCTGCTGAATCGGCACTCTGAAAGCAGCGGGACGTGCTCTAAGAGCAGACCGGGCAAAACGCACTGAGAACATTGTGTGTGCTTGCCAATTGGGAGTTCACGGGGTGTCCTGAATTGACGGTGGGAGGGCTTCGAGTTGCGATGTCGTGGACGTCGTTGCTGTGATCGTTTAAGGTTTGGCGTCTTGGAATCAGCAGACTACTGCTCTAGTCCTAATACGGTGGATGCATTCACGTGACTCCAATGCGAATGGAGGTTAATTGATGAGAAGTCATTGTATACGTAAATGGAAGAACATAGGCCTTAAGGTACAAATCAAACTGTGGACCGCTTAGCGTAATTATAAGATTTGACAGCTTTGCTGGGCTTCATTGAGGGTGCGCGAAGAATGTATACATTCTCTCGCGATAACATACGGAAAAACCCGGCGCCGCTTTAAAATCTATATACTAAAACGGTATGCTGAACAATACTCCGCAAAACAGTATACAGTTATGTAGTAGCCGGAGTGTTCAGCAGGTCAGTTACTTCGATATTTTTATACTCCAATCGCTATGTTTAATATTATTTTTTCTGCTTTATGGAGGTTAAGAAGGCGTCGTCGGGTTGTTGTCAGATTTCCCAATACGTACTAGTTTCGTCGCTGCGTCAATGTAAGCGAGATCCCACAACCACCTGATTACATAAGTCAACCTTCTCTTTCAACGACGAGAAAGCTGTTTGACGTTGCTATCCGCATTCCGATTCCTCATCAGCCCGAATTGTTGCGAAAAGACCGTCAAGATGGCCAGTACGTATTTGCTTGCTCAACATGAGTGCTTGTTTGATATCTGACTTGTTTTATTTATCCAGAATCCAAGAACTCGTCGCAACACAACCAGAACAAGAAAGCCCACAGGAACGGGTACGTATGAGACTCGTGCTATTTAAATCGGTGATTTTCCGTGGAATGGATTATACTGGAGTCAATGATCCCGAATGCGACGTCTTTATTCCTGAGCAAACGGACAAGCCGACCATCACAAGCAAGCCATTTCGAGTGCCATGCTGATCGACTCAATTATTTCAGGATCAAAAAGCCAAAGACTCACCGTTACCCATCCCTCAAGGGTGTTGACCCCAAGTTCCGACGGAACCACAGACATGCTCTTCACGGCACCATGAAGGCTTTGGTACGCCCCCTCCCCGTTTCCTTGCGCGACGTGTTTTCACACCATGGCCCGGGCATCTGACTAACAAATGCCTACAGAAGGAGGTGAAGGAGGGCAAGAGAGACTCTGCATAGACACCCAACAAATAATACTGAAAAAAAAAACCAAATATGAATCTCGAAATTATCAAATCTTCCACGTTGCTATGTCCATAGATCCGCATCATTTTTTCCCGTTTCTTTTTAGCCGTGAGGGGAAATTCGAGCTACAAAGAGTTTCTCGCTCGGAGTCTCGAATAATGCAAGATGGTCTGCACACTGGTTGCTCCTCGAGATTTCAAAGACTCTAGCAGTACCGCTAACCGACCGACAGCTGCGGATATTGTTGACAAAGCTTGTGGTTCTTGTTTTACGAAACCTTTGCAAACTGCGTCTAGGTAGATCATTGCGAATGAGACAGGCCAGATTTACGACTCCATCTTTACTCTTGCTGAGTGAATACCCATTTTCTTCGTAAAAATGTTTTTTTTTATCTACTCTCTCCCAGGCATATGTGTGTACAGCAGCGGAGTCAATTTTTCAAATGTCCGATTGCTGAAGGATTATTATTACGTGCCGAGATTTACTGCCGTCTAATTACCAAACACCCTTTGCCTTGCTCTCCGTGGTGCAGTGGTGCATGGACAGATGGCTACATGCCCTTATCTAGGATCTTCTAAATGATAATTGACTCTTTTGGGAATTACGATGGCTTGTATGGTGATTATATCACCGGCGAGTTCCTGAATTTCATAAACCAAGTAGATGGTATCCTTGCTACCATATTATTATCTGTAGGTATCAATTGTATAGATTCATTGCCTTTTCATAAAGCCAGTCAACGCCAAACTCGTCGCAATTTACAAACTGAAGAACTTGCTGAGAAGAACCCCCCATCCAATGTCGCAAAAAAATGCTACGCTGGGAAAAAAAAAGAAACGTTGAACTTAGGAAAACATATCTTCCGCCTTTCTGCGTCTTCCTCCGCGGCCCTCAAGCTTGTCAGAAAACAATTCTTTCCCTTCATTCCCAGTGTATTTGGAAGGGAATAGTTCTCTGACGGAAGCAGCTCCCCTGATGGATATCCCGTTGTCTAGGTTGTCTGCATTCCCGCGGATAGAGAACCCTGGATTATCAGACTTCCCGCGGATCTTGAATGACTTGGTTGGACCAGATATATGACCAGGGAAGAGTTCGACGCCACGACGACCCTGCCCCTCGGCATTCATTTCATGGTCAACGTCACCGGCTCCGTCGACAAGGGGAACGGTAATACGCTTAGCGAATAGATCAGCCGTCTCGTCCGCGGCGTCGAAAGCGTCGGAGCGGCGATGATTGCTCATGGTACTTTTTGGAAACAACTCCTTCTTGAGGTAGCTGGAAGCCGTCTTATTGGGGAACAACTCTCGGCGGCCAGAACTCTCATCACTAGAAGCGTTTGCAGAGGCAAAAAGCTCCTTTCCAGCATTGAGGCGAGAATATCCGTTCCTATCCCTGCTGTGCTGGGGTGATCGGTCTCGAAAGCGTCTACTGGACGCCCTACGATCGTCGCCGAGGCCGGTGATATCCTCGAACTCTGCACAGACGGGGGACGCACTGCGATCGCGCAATCGACCAGATGACCTCTCTGAGCGATCGGGAAACAAATCGTCGATGGTCTTGCGTCTTCCGCGAGTTCTATCGCCACTGGACCCCCGGCTCGGCTCCTCGCTATCGTCGTACATGGTCTCGTCAAACCTATCGTTACTGGCCAGGCCCCTGCGGCGTCGGTGCTCCCTATCGTCAAAGCGACGTCTGTTGTAATCTCCCGTGCTGTCGTCGCGGCGGCCGGAGCGGCGCCGTTCGGCAAATTCTCGCCTCATTCTCTCTCTGGGGTCGTGCTCGGGATGCATCAGATAAAACCGGCTCGCTTCGTGCGCCCTCTTTTTCTTGCGATCCGTCTTCACCGCCGATCTCACCTGCAGCACAGAGTCCGGGTGCGTGGAGAGTGCTTTGGCCGAACGCAGGCGGAGCGAGGGCAGCGCCGAATCACCTTCCTCAACGGACTGCTGCGTAAAGGCGGTAAGGGCCTGCAGGCCAGCTTCTGCAGAGTTGTAGATAATGTTGGCTGAAGTGTCATCGATCCATTCAACCCTGGCCAGCTCTTCCCCTTTGAAATGCTCCGCAGCAAAGCGTTTAATATCATCCGTCGACAAGTCATCAACACCGCGTATATGGACCTTCTCAAATTGCGGGTCCTCATTGGCAATTGTTGAATTCAACTCCTCAGATAAGCCATTGTTCACTGTAGTTGCTGCGGCTTCCTATGGCAGAGGGGCGGTTAGAAGCCGAGCCAATCAAGTGAATGCAAAGTCGGACTAACCAGCTCAATCGGCCCAGGAATCAGCTCGGGACCCAAATCCAGGTCCATATCAATATCCATCGAGATATCCATGCCGGTAACAGCGTGGTTGGCTGCCTGAAGCTGCAAGGGAGTGTGGACCGTGGCGGCTTCCATGGTGGCAATTCGGGATGCACCTCTGAAGTGCACTAATGGAATTGAATAGGACAGTAGATTATGAAGCTCACGGTAAATAAAAAGCAATGAAACAAGTAAGGAAGTCAGCGCTGTGGAGGAAATACAAAGTTGACTCCGCGTTGATACCTGGTAGGCGTTACTCTCACTTTCGATTTTGCGCTGAATAGGCTTGTTCCGAATCGGGTTAGTTCCGGCCTAAAATAGCTCTACGCGCCAACTACGTCACTGGATCTCCTTCTCTCTGAAGCTGCAAAGAGAACGAAGCCATTCACCGCAGCAGTCGGATAGAGGCTACGGAAGTCACAGCCATGGCTCGGTGGAGGACATGCTGTTGTGTTGGTCTGCACGTCTGAGGTGGAACACCTCGGAAACTGGCTTCAGCACGAACTGAGAACGGCAACTCTTGCAACAGCCGGCCGATCACGTCGCCCTCCATCGCCGCAGCCCACGGCTGGAATGCAATAGACAAGATACTCTCCGATCGCCTCTCTAAGGCTTATCCGGTTGGGTCATTCTGGACTAGCTGTGTGGACGGGCATCGTGCTGTATATGCACAGCACACAGTCTTGTCCCGTGAGCTAGTCACATTGCCGTGAGAGGAGCTTATCAGGTCGGGGGCTTTGATAGTTCACCCGTGCTCTTCTGTCTGGGCCGATATCCCAGGACCCGTCGCGAATTCAAACCCGAGAGGCCAATGATCTCGCCGGAGAGCCATCCAGACCCACTGCTCAGCACTCCTTAGATGCATCGTCTAGCCGTCAAGCAAATCACGCTCCTCGGTGAAGTGAGGCAAAGTAGGCTAGTGATCTAATATAACTTTCCCTCGACGGTGTGGTGTATTCCTCCAGAATTCACTTTCAGTAAAACGTAATGCATCACGATACGTACCAGAAAGGTCTGAAACGGAGCAGCGTCAGAATCAAAACAATTTTGCTAGTCAGTAGGACTCGCGAAATCGACCGCAGCGATCACCCAAAGGCAAGGGTGCTGGGTAGGCCGATCGCCATGGCAGTCTTTGGGCCTTGGGTAGATTCCCAAAGCATCGTGGGCGGTTTCGGCATACCGACGAAACAGTAAGAAATGAATACCATCTGTCTATTACGCAGCTCCGGAAGTAGTTGCCGGAAAACCGCGCTTTTCTTCTTTTTTTTTTTTTTTGATTTCTGAATTTGTAAACGGCATAAAAGAAAACAAAAAAAAAAAAAAAAAAAAAAAAAAAAAACCGCTACAATCCTCAGGGTTCCGTTATTTGTCATGTAACGGTAAGCCAAGGTGGTACCTGGCAGAGCGCCCTTGTAGCATCAAGATCGAGGCCGTTACAAATTCCCGCCACTCGGTTCAGTAATCATGAATAATCTCGTCCGCATTCTCTGACCGTTCTTTGACGGCTTGATTGAAAAGGGAAACCAGGCTCTCGAGCCCCCTCCGATCCAAGAAGGGATCATCGAGAACAGGAGAGGAAGGCTCGGCAGCCAGCTGGGCTTCGTTGGAGAAACAAAAACGGTTACTGCAGACGACTGCCTTGCATACATACAGAAAACAAGGCAGCTCGACGGCAATCGAGAACAGAGCCGTGCTTACTTGTGGTAGCGAGATTAAGCACGCTGGAACAGCCACACTCTCGGGCGATCGTTGCCCGAAGAAGAAAATGAATTGAGATGGGGGATGGCAAGGCGGGTTTGAACAGACACACAGCGTCAATCTCAGTCGTCTGCACGTATCGACGAGAAACCGGTCTTCAGAAAGTCAACAGATAAGCCGAACGCACCTCCGTCGTTCAAAGGAAAGCAGCCGCCGGTCCTGATCGAGAAGGCAATGTGTCGATCTTCATCACGAGCCACCTCCCCCCCTACCTCCCTCTCTGTGCGTCCCCACGGCCCGCGCATCCCACGATGGGAGGGAGAATGGGCGGTCGTCGTTGACGGCGTGGACGATGCAGGGATGGAGATGCGATGGACGGGTTCAATGCAGCCAATAAACGCCACGGATGCGCAGGAGGGCTGTTTCGTGTATCAGTCCAGATAGCTAACAAGGCGGCGTTGCGGCCAGCTTATCGATCACGAGGCACACCCCCTCACCCTCACCCTCCCCCCCGTCCGGGGCAAACGAGCTCGGCCACTCATGCTATGTTGCTGCTGACACGGCGGTATCAAGGAGCATGGGGAGGGGGCACGACGGGTTGAACGGAGATCAATACGACTGTGACTGATTTCCAAAGGCGCCGATATCAGACGGTCGTGCAGGATGGCGATTTAGGGTTTTTTTCTCCCCGTCCTCATGCACAAAGAAAAGAGAGTGTGCATTATTGTATACGCAGTTGGGCTGGCATGTGTGCGTACTCCGTACCGATGCCTCTTTTGCAAGACAGGGGTACCATCGCCTTGGGACCAAAAGAAAAAACAACGGCGTTGCGCCTGTTCTGGACCAGGCAGTCGAACTAGCCAGGGTGATTTACATAGCACCCGTAACTATGTAGCTAGCTCGCCGGGCTGTCATCCAAGTGTCTGGGGTAGTCAAACTAGCTAGACTGTACCCGCCGCCTCTTACGTGCCGATTATTAATAACAGTAATTCGATATCAGGCAAAGCCCGTGTGCCGATATTAGTCTCGCTTCGCAACCCTCGCCCCCCCGGTCTCTCTCATGAAGCTGCAGACCAGGGATTGGGAAATAGCACCGTGCGTTTGTGATCTCCTCCGCACCACCCACCCGCCCAACAGCAGCCACTTGCTCTCTCTTCCCTGCACATGCCCATCCCATTCTGGGGAGACGCGGCCCGCCCAGCACTGACGGATGAGCGTTTCTTGGGAGGCGCGGGCAATCCAGCGTGCGGGAATAACTAATAATGGGGCTGGCTGAGCCCGGCCTAGCGGCCCCCCCCAGCTGCCTAGAACGGCGACCTCCAATCCTGCCAAATACGGCGTGCCCCATGCAGCTCCCCCAGCCATAATAATATCGAGGAGCAGAGAGAGAGAGAGGAGGCCACACGCCCGATTCTGTATTTTATCTGTCTTCTCCGTCTCTCGGACCCGCCAGGTGCGCTGCACCACCACCCCATGCAGCAACTCAGAAAATGCGACGATTCCATCCCGCTTCCCACTCCTCCTCCTACTCCTCCACTTCATGGACCATTCTGATCTCCGCTCCGAAAGAGCGACGGGCAGCATCCGCTGCGCCGTAGCACCCTGCGTCGGCATCTCGGAAATCAATGCGGGCGGATAGAAAGCAGTTCCCCGTCACCCCCCCCTCCCGCGTGACGGCCGACGCGTAGTTAGCCCCTAGAGTAACTAGTTAGTAGTCGATAGTAGTAGTGTGTCAAGTGTTTGAGCAAACAGTTGATAATATAACTCAAGACTGCTTGCTTGCCCTGATGCCAAGACCCCTGGCGGCGTGCGTTTTCCTTGTCCCCAGGATTGGCATGCCGTTTCGATGAAATTAGTAGTCTTGTGTGTGTACGGAGTACGATGCCATGGAACAGGGATCATGCAGCCCACTACACAGGCAAGCGAGGTTTCTGGCTCCTCCGCCTTTTTCTGTCTAAACCTTCTTTTTTCCCCTTCTCGTCTTGGGGGATTATTATTATTATTATTTGATTAGTAGTGGTGTTAATTCTTTGTTTTTGTCCCGCCAGGGCCTTCATTTCTGATCCACCGACAAGTCATACAGGGGGGACGGGCGAGATTTGCCCCCCTCCCCCCTGCCTGCCCTCTTTTTTTTTTTTTCTGCATCATACCCCGGGCACACAACGTCCTTCTCGTACCAGGTCACTGGGGCAGGGGGGTGCAGGCCCGCATCGAGCTATGCATGCGCCTTGAAAAGACCCGCGACGCTGGCTGAGATGCAAATCAAACCCCAAACAGGTCCATCTTGGGGTAATACGAACGGGGTGGAAGAAAGGCCCTCCTAGCCGTATCGCGCCGGCGGTGTGTGTGTGTGTGTGTGGAGCTCTTGCGTGTTTGATAGACGGATTCTCCCACCCTCCCTAGCTGTTCTGATCGTCGTGATTGCTCTAGAAAACTTGAGTTGGATGAAACGAGGAGGGGAGGGGGAGTGTGGAAGCTGGTGTCGCCCAGACGAGACGATGCATGCCAGGCTGGCACAATCTTCCACCACCACACCCATCTCGTCCTCACACAGCCCCGTCTTCTTTCTCCTCCGTCCCAGCCCACTCGCCTGCGTCCACGCTCTCAACACACCTGCGCAACGGCCCATCGTCACCGGGTTCGTCGTCGTGGGTGGTCATGGTCGACCACGTCGAACGTCTAGATTAAGTTAGCTCGGCCGTGACGCGGGAAGCTTATCTGGCAGCTGTGGCCAATCGCCGCGCCGCGCCAAGCGCCACGCGCTGATGTCAGCACATCGGGCTTTCCTTGTTCCTTTTTTTTTTTTTCTTTTCAGTCGCAAGGGGGGAAACGAGACTGAGAGAGGGAGCAGCGGGTTTGTTTGCCTTTCGGCTCCGCGGGCCAAACCTGTTCCCCGGCCCGATAGCCGGTGGCGTATGGGAAGGGACGGGGGGGGGGGAAACCATATCCGTATGGATATGGATATGGATGTTTGTATGTACCTGCGTTTGCGCGATTATTTGAAAGACGTGGGGGGAGAACGCCGACAAGCAAACGCAGCGCAGTGCTGGGATTCGTCACCGCCCAACGGCCGGAGACGGCCTGAGCACTCTTCTTCCCCCGTTGGGACGAGGGCCGCGCATCAGCGACCTGCAGGCCGATCCGGGTACATCCTGGCCGGGCCCGGCAGCACCTGCGGCGAGAGGGGGGTTAGTCGATCTTCCAACGGGCGAGGGGACAACGAAACAGGGCGCCAGCTGTTGACTGCATTTGGGGGCCAGTCGGGCTGGAACTGTGTAGGTCTCTTTGCTTTTTGGGTCGGACGAAGAGGTGCGTTGATGGGGGTTTGGGCTTTCATTATGGCAAAGAGAGAAAATAGAAAATGGCAAATCAAAAAACAAAAAACAAAAAAGAGAAAAAAAAAAAAAAAAAAAACGCAAGTCTGTGTTGCGCTCAGCTGCCGGCAACTGCGATGTGATGTCCCGAGCCTGTCGTTCGGCGTACGGGGTATACACGCGTGTGAGGGTCTCGGTGTTGCAGGCTCGTCGGAAACGGCAAAAGGTGCGTTTCGCAACACCAAGCCTGCAACCGTCTTTGTCGGCTCCTGTATGAGATTGCAGGTAGGTAGGTATGTAGTAGTTGGTTGGTTACCACGGAAGCCAGGTCGTTCCGGGAGCCGTTCGCTCAACACGCTCTTGTTCGAGCATTGGCCTGAAGCGGACGGACGAAACGAGAGAAAGAAAGAGAGAGAGAAAGAAAGAAAGAAAGGAAAAAACGAAGGAGAAACAGTGGTTGCACCACATTCCCTCGACATTTCCAACGGCCTTTGACGGTGCACGCGAGCATATGTCTGCCCGGCTTTTGCGCTGTGTGGTGGCCGTCCTTCCGGTTGGAATCCGGTCTGGTCTGCAACAACGAGCGGGCGGGTTGGAAAACAAAGAAAAACGCGGTCTGTATGTACAGGCGGGCATATGAATAGTTAGTTGGTATCAACATCGCGCAAGAGCGTAGTTCGTCAACTACCCAGTTAGTGATGAAGAGCCACGCTCTGATTCACAGAGCGGGCATCGCCAGAGACCCCCAAAAAACACCGACGCGCTCGAATCAGCCCGCCAGCCACGACACCTTCATGATCACAACACACAAACACGCGTGTCGGCGGACGCGAGGCAGTCGACAACTAACTACGCGTAGGTGAAGGCCGATGGATGTGGTGTGTCCGATTCGCGGGCGCGTTTGCGATGGCTCTGATTTCGTCACTTGTCGCCCGCACGCGCTGCTGCTCCCACACCACTATCATCATCATCATCATCATCATCATCACCACCACCACCACCACCACCACCACCACCACCACCACCATCCAGCAGCGCCTCGCGCCTCCTCTTCAGGAATGTATGATTTCATTATCCTCCCTCTCCTCTGCCTCTCTCTCTTCGCTTGCTGCACATCGTATTACGCGCTCTTTCTCTTGTTGCCCCTCTATACTCGGCAAGATCCCCCCCCCCCCCTCCCAGCCCCAGCCCCAGCCCCAGTCTGCGCGGGCCCCTCACACCACCCCCCATCTCTCTAGGGCTCGGGCTCGGGCTCGGGCTACGCCTAAAGCCAAAGCCAAAACAGGCACACACACCAACAAAAAGAGGCGAGCCCGAATCTGACGGGTCGCAACCCGCGCGCGCGCGCCCGCCCGCTTCCGTCGGCTACTGGGCGAACCGGCAACGCGCAAACCAGGCTGGGGTCTTCGACTAGTTCAACTTAGCGGTGGTGGTGTGTATACTGCGTCCGCTGAGCCCTCGCTCGCTCGCGCGCGCGCGTGTGTGTAGTTAGTTAGTTAGATGCGTCCGCATGACTCTTACTGGATCCTCTTTTTTATTTTTATTTTTTTTTATTTTTCATTTTTCTTTGCTCTTGAATTCCGCGCCAGTTTTTTTTTTTTTTTATCTTTTTATGTTTTATTTTTATTTTTTCTACTCTTATTTTCTCGCTTCGCATGTTCCTTCTTGCCACCGGTCGTCCTCCAGCTACTGACTACTATCAACTTATTGATTTATTCCTATTGTCTTGGTATGTTGCCTCCTCCTCCCCGTCCCTCTTCGGGGCATTGGTTGCGCGTTCAGCCCTCTTTTTCTTTTTTCTTTTTTGTTTTTTCTTTCGTTTAAACGGGACACATGCAGATTGGAGACAGTCCCCCAAGGCCCGACTAACTAGTTTCGGGCTCGTCGGACATGTCGGGGATTGACAAGACTTGAGAAGAAAAAGAAAGAAAGAAAGAAAGAAAGATGGAAGCGGATCAGACGATTATATGTGCGCTGTTGCTGCAAGGCTGCAGGGCCCGAGTGGATGTTGCGATCCAGGCTGAGACCGGCCGAGGCAACCAACAACGCCAGGGGAGACTGGATGTACGGAGTAGTCAGTGGTAGTAGTAGTTAGTGATGTAAGACCAGCCGGCGGCAACTGTTAGATAGATGCGTAGGTACGCAGTAGTCACTACTACTGCACGTCCGATGCATGCATGCATGCATGTACGTACGTACGTACCTGGTACAGCACAAACGGACAATGCATGCAGGCCCGCGGGCCCTGCATGCACCGCCCGGCAAAACCTCGTTGGAAACATTATTCTCTTTTTTTCCTTTTTTTCTGTTTTGGCCGACGACGCGCCCAGGAAGTTGTACCGTAGTTTGGTTCACTATCATATAAGTAATGAAACGTACTACGACTTGTATACATCATGCAGTCACACACCGCTTACTTGGCTCGCCGATTGCGAGCCGGAAAGGTAAAAGGTGCAAAAATAGAGCGCGAACAAAAAAAGAAAAAGAAGGCCAAACTCCGAGGCGTGACAAACGTGGATTTGGGTAAGATTTGGATGGATGGAATGTCTGTATGGTATGTATGTATGTATATGTATGTATTTCCGGCCAATTCCGCCGCGCCTAGTTTATCGTCGCCGCCTCCCCAAAAGGGGGGAATATCCCGACCAGGGACAAGATGAAAAGAAGACCAAGACCAAGACACAAAAAAGAAAAAAAAAGTAAATCGAGGAAATAAAAAAAAAATCAAAATACGACAAGGATCAGAGTCCACCTCCGCCAATCCGCCGTTCCTGTTTTGCAACCCAAATGCTGTAAGTAGTAGTATCACACGCAATCCCGCAGAATACGCCGGCCGCCCCGCCCCCCTTTCCTTGTCCTCAACGCTGCCGCCCCCCCGTCGTGAGTAGGAGTAATAAAAAAAATAGTAGTAGTGGGTAATATGTTCAAACAGGCCAGAAAGAAAAAAAAGGACCCGGCTCTCTAAGGGCAAGTGAGAGTACAGGCATCATGTTTTGTTTTTGGGGGGCAACCAATATAAAGAAAGAGAGATAAGGAAAAGGAATCTGTTTGTATGCGGTGTATTAAAAAAGATGTAGCAAAATCAACCGAAAGCCGGGGGATCCATGATTTCTTTTTTATTTTTCTTTTGGGTAATTTTGATTTCAATTCAGCAGGTTGTTCAGGCCCATGCGGGCGTCGCGGGCGTCGGGGCCGGACGACGGCAGACGGCACAGCGAGCCCATGGAGCCGACGCTCTGGTGGTGGTGCAGGGCCGGCCGGCTGGTGGCGTAGGCGGCCAGGCTCTTGCCGACGGGCGTCATGCCGACGGCGGGGGCGCTGCCGCGGCGGCGGGCGTCGTAGTGTTGTTGTTGTTGCTGCTGGCTGTAGTGGCTGTGGCTGTGATGATGATGATGATGATGCAGGGCGTCGGCGGGCAGGGCGGGCGAGGTCAGGGTGCGTGGTGACGAGGCGGAGGCGACGGAGGCGTGGTCGGAGACCATGGAGGGCGTGCGGTTGGAGACTTCGGAGTAGCAGGGCGAGGTCAGCGGCAGGTCGATGTGCGAGGAGAAGTCGAGGGTGAAGAGGGGTGGTAGGTGGCGGGCAGTCGTGCTGGTGGTGCTGGTGCTGGCGGTGGTGCTGGTGCTGCTGGCGGTGCGCGGGCTGCGCGGGCGGTCGGGCCAGGCGTCGTCGCGGGGGTAGCGCGAGGAGCTGGGGCGGCGGGCGGCGGGCAGCCAGGCGGGCGCGCAGGCGGGACTGGCGGAGGCAGAGGCGGCCCGGTGGTGGTGGTGGTGGTGGTAGCCGGGGCTATGGCTATGGCTATGGCTATGGGCGTGATAGGGGTGGTCGCGGGGCACGGCACGGCGCTTCTTGCGGTTCATGCTGCCGTTCCACCAGTTCTTGACGGCGTTGTCGCTGCGGTTGCCCAGGCGGCGGGCGATCTCCGCCCACCGCTTGCCCATGTCGGCCACCATGCGCTCGATCAGCAGGCCTTCCTCGGGCGAGATGGGGTCATGGTTGAGCGACGGCTTGAGGTTCTGGTGGAAGCGCTCGCGGCACTGCTTGGGCGAGCGGAACTTCATGTGCTGCGAGATGCGCACCCAGTTGTTGGGGCCCTGCGAGTGCACCAGCTGCAGCAGCTCATGGTCTTCCTCGGGCACCCACGGGCCGCGGCGCTGCGGCGGTGGCATGGGGAGGGCAGGGAGGGTGGGGAGGAGTTAAGGGGGAGGAGGAGTGAGGATGTGAGGGTCGAGGGGTTAGGCGGCGAGCAAAAGAGAGAGAGAGAGCGCGAGCGAGCAAGCAAGCAAGCAGACAGACAGACAGACAGACAGATACACACAGGACGGACAGCCAGCCAGGCAGGCCCCCGGCGGGCGCGGCACAGGTTAAGTAGGCCGTTGGTGCGGCGGCCAAGCACGCGGGCGCGGCGGATGGACGATATCATCGCGCGGCCGATCGCCCGCGCTGCCCCCGGGTGCCTGTCGGGGCGACTGAGTAAAGGCTCGCTGGCCAGCCCGGCGGCGATCAGAGCACCCGCTCGTCAGCGGCGGCTGTGGCTGCGCGCAGTGGCGGCTGCGAGAATTCGCCGACGCTCGTCGCGGGCCTTGGTCTGCCGGTCATCGCGCCCGCCGATCGCCCCTTGCGCGCTGCCTGCTCAGTTGCCTGCCCGGCGCGCGCTGCCTGCTCAGTTGCCTGCCCGGCGCGCGCTGCACTGATCACCACTGTGCTCCATGTCTCGAAACTAGCAGCTTGGGATGCCCCCCCTCACGTCATCTGCCTTCCTCTGCTCTGCTCTCTCGCGCGACGCGCCTGCTGGCCCCGTCACGCGTCCGCTCTCTGCTCCCTCCTCCCTCCTCTCTCGCCGATGCGACGCTTCCTCGCCGTGCCACCACACACACACACGCCCGCCCGCCCGCCCGTCCGCGCTGCCCTCTCGTCCTCGTTCCGTTCCGTCCCTCCCTCCCTCCCCAGCTAGCTAGCTAGCTAGCTAGCCAGTCTACCGTCTCACGAGCCAGGCCTGCCCTCCCCTGCCTGCCTGCCTGCCTGCCTGCCTACCTACCCCGTCCAGTCCCCACGCGAACGGCATGCCCCAACTTCTCGTCCCCGAACAACCGAACACACCCAGCTCGCTCGCTCGCGACCGGCCATGGCGAAACACCTCCACGGAACCCGACACACACCAGCGCCCGCGCTAGCTGTTGGCTTGACCCAGCTGCTCGCTCGTGAACCACGATCCTTGCC